AAAAAAAAAAAAAAGAAAAAAGAAACCGACGGGTCACAAATCTCTACGCCGTATGGTGACGTCCATCAAATAACAGCGATGAAAGTATTCATCACCGCAAGGGCACGACGACGCCTACGATGCACAGAAAATGATGGTCATCACCACCACATGGCTCAACCGAGCCCTCTATGACGCAAGCGGCCTCGAGGGGACAAGAAGCAAGTGGGCGCGAGACATGGCCCCCATCTCCGTTGCGCCGAAAACCCAAATACAGGCACAGTATAGGACTGGCCTAGGCTGCTATGTTGAGCCCGGGGCGCGTGTGCGTGTTGAAAGGAAACAAGAAGATCGTGCCCAGCAGGCGTCAATTTATACCCGGTCGTGGCACACATCACAACGGCCGAAAATCACCTCCCACTACCACGGCTACTGCATTCTAACGGATACCATACACACTCATCCTTTACCACCATTTTCTCATAGCATAGCAGTGGGAAATGCTACTTCTCTACCTACCTACCAACTACAATCCCATCTACGCCATCTCGGCATCGCCATCACCAGAACCACTACCACCACCTTCCTTCGCCACTCCTTCCTTGCCAGCCTCCGGCTTCCTGCCCGCAAGGAACAGCTTTTTGAAGTCGGCGTTGCTCTTCGCTCCACCACCGGCAGCAGCAGCCGAGGACGACGCACCCGCGCTCTCGCCAGCACCTCTACTCGAAGCACCAGCACCAGCACCCGTGCCAGCGCCACCTCTCCTCATGCCCAGGCCACCCTTGCCGCCTCTCCGTCCCCCCTGCTGCACCGGCCGACTAACCCTCGGCGGCACAATCTGCTGCTGGAACTGCTGCTTCTCACCCTTGGCGCCCTCCTTCGCCTTTCCCCCAGCACTAGCACCACTCCCACCAATCCGATCAACCCTCCACTCCCCCCTCTCCCTCTTCATCTCCTCCACACTCCCCACGCGAATCTTGCGGCCCGCGCCCCCAAGCTCCCCCGACCCATCGACCGCCAGCGCCGCCGCCCCCGCCTCAGCCACACTCGTAAACTCCGCCACCGCGCCCCCGTGCTCCGGCATCAGGATCAGCTTCCGCAGCGTCCCGTGCGGCGCCAGCAGCGCGCGCACCCGCACATCGTTGACCGTGTCCGGCACGTTCATCAGCGCAATCGTGCGCTCGCGCCGCGTGCGCATCTCCTCGTCGACATTGTCGGCTTCGGGCGAGGCGGCCGCGGCGCCGTTCGTGGCCATGACCGTCGTGGAGTGCGTCTTGCCGCCGCGCGGCTCCGAAATGTGGACGCGCAGGATGCGGCCCTTGAACTCCTGGAGGTTGAGCGCAGCTGCAGCAGCTTGCGCTGCCTCCTTGGTGGTAAAGTCCACGAATCCGGTTCCCTTGCCCTTGTTGTGAACGCTTCGGGGGATGCGCACGCGCTCAACCTCGCCGTGCGGGGCCGCAAGCTCGCGCAACTCGTCGTCCGCCGTAGTGTAATCCAGGTTGCCGAGCATAATCTCCCGGCCCTCGTACATGGCGCCCGAGCGATCACCCTTTTTGTTGGGGTCTGAGATCCTGGCCACGAGCTTGTACTTGCCGCCCAGCGGCTTGCCGTCCAGCGCTTCTGACGCGGCCTGCGCTTGCTCGGACGTGATGAAGGAAACATAACAGAAGCGACGATGGGTATTGAACTTCAAAGAAGGGAACCGGACCTCGACCACCTCGCCGTACGGCGCGAACAATTTGCGAATGTACGTCTCGTCGGCTTCGGGGGGATAGTTGGTGACCCACAGGGTTGCACCAAGGCCGATGGAGACTTGGATAGTGTTGCCTTCAAACTCTCTTCCGTCTCTCGATTGCGCGAATTGCGCGTCCTCCTGGGTTTCAAACTCAATGGTGGCCGTCTGGCTCGCTCCGCCATCCTCGGCGATGAGCTTGATGCTAATAACCTTGCCGCAGTCGCGGAAAAACTGGCGGACCCTCGTTTCGTTGACGTGCGAAGGAACATTCTTGACGATAATGGTTGTGTGCTCCCTGTCGCGCTTCTGCTGAGCTGCGACAGAGGCCGAATCATCACCAAGAGGCTCCGTCTGGGATCCTTCCTGCTTGCTCTTCTTCGCCGCAATCTCATCGATCCCGGCATCCTCAGCCCTCTTCCTCTTGCCACTTGCGTTCGGATCCTCCTCGACCGGCATGCCGACGCCAGCACCGAGATATTGCTGTTGATATGCGGCCGCAGCATCGGCTGCTTCCTTCTCGCGCCTGTCGGCGACGTCGCGGGTTGCCTTTCTAGCCTCGATGATGGCGAAGCGGTATTGGTGGACGGATTCGTGCTGTTCGCAGTGGTTCAGGTACATCTGGATTATCTGTTCCGGCCAATCCATCTTCATCACGTTCTTCAGCGCCTGCCTCAATAGCTCCGTCGCTCTCCGAGGAGGCTCGAGGTTGCCGGCATTCTCCTTGTCGCGCACGTTGTATCTCGACCAGATGCCCATCTCCCAAATGTAGTATCGGTACCAGAAATCGTAGCTCTGCTCCTGCCGAGGGATGAGCAACTTCCAGCAATCGCGGGCCATGTCGACGTTGCCGCTTTGGGTGATGAACTTGATGTTTATGCGCTCCAGCCGGTAGAGCGGGTCGCCCTCCCACTCCTTGCCGTACTTCTGCTCGCCAATCTCCTTGACGTGTTCCAGCGCGGAACGGAATCCGACTTCCGCAATGTCAATGTCATCCTCGGTGCCGCGCGCGTCGAAAGCTCTGCGCCGGAGGTAACCGCACCAAGCAATGTAAACCTTCAAGAGGTCTTCCATGCCACCGACGTCCAGCATGCCGGTCTCGGTCGCGCTGTGCTTGACGCTCTCCATGTCGTCGAAAGACTTACCCTCCGCTTCCAGCGTGAGCAAGCGATGCGCCCAAAGGCTACCGGACCATGGGCAGTGGCGCGTGGCGCGTTCGCAGACCGGCAACACCGGGAATCCCGAGTTTGAGCTCTCGATGAGCAGCTGAATGTAGTCCTCCCAAACGGTCGGGTCGATCGAGAAACGGGTGGTGGCGCGTTCGTAGACGGCGTTGACGAGGTGGAAGCTGAAGACGCCCTTGTTTCTGACCTCCCAGTCCAAATACTGCGAGTACGCCTCCCACTCGGCATCTCGATCTCCCGCGCGCATGGCCCTCTCGACCTTGGACTCAAACTGTTCGCGGAGAGTGTATTGCTGCTTGGCCTGTCCGGCCTTCTTGAGCATCGTGCGCATCGTGTCCTCGTACGAGGCGTTGTCGAACCTAGAGATAAAGGTAGAAAACATCTGGAACGTATTCTCCCAGGTCGCGTGCGGCTTCACCAATCTCTCGGAAAAGGCATTCCTCAGATACTGCACCTTTTGACAGTTTGGCTGACGGTCCTGGTCGGCCAGCATAATCTCCATCCACCTGTCCCACACCAAGTTGCTGTCGTTCAGGTGCCACTGCGTCGCCGCCAGACCTTGTTCCCATGTTTCCATGACGCTCTGCCAAGTGAAGACCTCCTTGCCCACGATCTTATCCTCGGCGGTCCAATTCGACGGCTCGACGTCCCAGGCGGCGGCGAAGAGGTGGTGCATGTAGTCGCCGTAGAGGCGCCAGAGCGTCGAGCTGCTCGGCTCGTCGACGATCGACTTGCCGCAAAGCTCCATGACCGAAAGGCGGTCTTCGGTGGTGCGCGCAAGCTTTTGTTCGTCGTTGATCCAGGCGACCCACAGCTCCTCACCCACGGGGAACTTGGCCTCCATGGACTGGCGCGCCAAACGCAAGTCGTCGAGCAGTTCGTAGGCGAAGGGATCGTTCCGGGCATCGGGATTGTCGGGGGGATGGATGTGGTGCATCAGACCTTTCTGAAGAAGGTTGACGAGGCGGACGTGGGACGCGTAGTCGTAAGGGTTGTCTTTGAGGTGAGCGACGAGGTCGTTGATTGCCTGACTGTCAGCTTGAGAGAGAGAGCGCGCAGCATAGGTGCGCGGGGTGGACGAGGACGCGTCGGTCATGGTGATGTCTTTGGCCGAGCTGGAGGAGATGGTACGGGCGAGATTGTGGATGTTGTAGCTTGCGCAGGCGCGGGGTTAGCTAAATGCGGAAGGCGCTAGTGCTGACAGACTCACCCCACGGAAGGCGCGCGCTGGTAGACCTGCGGCGAGCGCAAGCCCGACGCGTTTTGCCTGGCCGTCTGCTGGTGGTGCTGCATCGACGCCAGATCTGCCGCGGGCGACGCATTAGCTTGCTTTGCCGCGCGGACGGCCGCCCACTCACCTGCGAGCGTGTCCATGCCAGGCGTCGAGCCGTGTCTATGGAGCGGCGGCGCCTGCGGCTGTTGTTGCGGTTGCGTCTGCTGCTGTTGCTGCTGCTGCTGCTGCGACGACTGCTGTTGCTGTTGCGACGACGACGACGACGACTGTTGCTGCTGCTGCTGTGGCGGCGGCGGCTGCTGGGCGCGCGCAATGGGCGGGGTGCGGCTCTCTGGAATGTTTGCGAGCGGGCTCCTGAGCTCGGCCGTGGGCGTGCTGGCGGCGCTGAGCGGCTGCATGGGTCGGCCGCCGTTCTGGGCACCTTGAAGGTATGAGGTCATGGCGGCATTGTGCGAGGAGGTAGGTGTTGGCAGGCGGTGGTGTTGCTGCTGCGTCTGCTGGTGGTGGGCATACGGCAGCTGCTGTTGCGGCGGCGGCGAGTGGGCGGTGATCTGCTGGCTCAGACCAGACGACTTCCTCTTGACCGGGCGGCCAGGGCGCTTGAGGGGCGACGTGCGCGGCGACGCGAGGGGCGGGGGAGTCTCGCTGGCGGGCGACTCCTGGGGCGACAGCAGCGAGTTGATGTCCATGTTTGTTCGTCGTCGGGGGCGGGGGGTTGCGGTCGGGCGGCGGGTCGAAGGCAGCAGGTCATGCGACGACAATGGCGGGCATGACGATGGCTGTCGAGGCTTTTGCAGGTTTGATAATCAAAGGCTCTAGTTTGACTTTGGATTTCCACAGATTCACGGCCAAACTCCACGTCACGGACGTCAATCGACATCGGCTATTAGCTGGGGCGCGCGCCGGGCGAATCACAGGGCGGGCGCGGCGGCTTTGCATGCGGTGGTGGGGAGTACAAGGGCGCTGCGGACCAGGGCGCATCATCCCACGCGTGCATTGCAGCGCCGACTGCGAATGCGAGCATTGGGCGGGTGGCTTGCGAGGGTGCGAAGGGAGGGACTGGGGGGGGGAGGTGGAAGGGGGGGGGGAGGGCGGACGTGGTGCCTGACTGGGCGGCGGGCGGGCGCTTGTGTGTGTGTGTGTGTCTGTGTGTGCGCGCGCGTGTGCGTGCGTGTGTGGGTGTCTTGTTTCTGTGTGTGTGGGTGGGTGTCTGGGATGCCTTGGAGGGATGCCTGAGAGTCAGACTCTGGCACCACTCGGCTTGCAACCAGGACCGGCTTGTTTGCCTTTTTCGAGCATCTTTCTCTTGTTTCCTTGGCCTTAAGTCTTGGCATTGGCATTTCTGCCTCAGGCAACAAGGCTGCCCGCCCGGTATCCCGCCCGGTATCCCGCCCGGCCCAGCGTTCTTCCGCCCGGACAAGCATCGACCATCAACCGTCAACTTTCTGTCAGGCGGAAGGCACGACGCAAGCAATCCTGCCCACCATGAGCTTGCCAATCCGCTCCAGGTGCCTGCCACGGCCGGGTAAGCTCCCCCCAATCCCACACCTCCCAGAATCCCACCCATTGACGCCCTCGCAGCAGCCCTGCCCGCCGCCGTCACGCCCCCGGTCACCGCCCGCCGCACCTTCATCTCCGATCTATGGAACTCGCTGCGCCCGCGCAACAAGAACCAGCAGCCGCAGGACCCGCGCTCCGAGAAGCAGCAGCCCAAGAACCCGCTGCTGGAGGAATACATGCGCAACAAGCCGAAGAGCACGCGGCCGGAGCTGCAGCGCGGCGACCTGACGGACTCGTCCATCTTCGCCGACGAGGCCAAGGCGCCCACCGAGACACCCGAGGAGCGTCGCGCCCGCGAGGCCGAGGCCAAGAAGAACGAGCCGCGCAACCCGGCCGCCATGGCCGCCGCGCTTGACCCCGCCCCGCATGCCCGCCAGCGATGGGAGCGCAAGATGGCGATCCGCGAGGTGCGGCAGCGAGGGCGCGTCAGCAAGACGGTCCAGCTGAAGCGCACCGAGCGCGAGGACCTGCAAAAGAGCTCCCTGATCAAGACGTCGGTCAAGAAGCTGGGGATGCTGGCGCGGCAGATTGCCGGCAAGCCCATCGACGACGCCATCACGCAGATGCGCTTCAGCAAGAAGAAGGCGGCCAAGTCGGTCCTCGAGCACCTGCAGTACGCCCGCGACCACGCCGTCGTCAGCCGCGGCATGGGCCTCGGCGAGGCCACGGGCACCAAGGGCGAGCCCACCGAGATCGAGCTCAAGGACGGCCGCCGCAAGCTCGTCACCGACCGCACCGGCATCTACGTCGACCAGGCTTGGGTTGGCCGCGGCCAGTACGGCCGCGCGTACGACATCCGTGCCCGCGGCATGGTCAACGTCATGCGCATCCCCTCGACTAGTGAGTCTGCCCTTCTCATGACGCCCCGTGTCGATATGCCCCTGGCTAACTCTGCACTCAACTAGGCATCTCCGTCGTCCTCAAGGAGGAAGCCACCCGCATCCGCCTGTCCCAGGAGAAGCAGAAGAAGCGCGACAACCGCAAGGTGTGGCAGCCGCTGCCCGACCGGCCCGTCACGCGCCAGCGCCAGCACCTGATGTGGTAGTGGTAGCCGGCAGGTGGGGGGGAGGGGTGTGTGTGTTTGACGAGAGAAAGGGGAGCATGGCAAGAGAAGGCGCGGTAGGAAAGCGTACATACACGAACGCGTAGGACAGATGCCATGTATTTGGACGAACGGATTGTAAAATACACATATATACCCTGCATGGAACAGGGCTAGAGACAAGGACAGAACTTGTACGATTCAACTGTTGTTCGCTCTTCGCGGTGATGCAGAAGCGAAACGTGCCAATGTTCCTTCCGTTCATACAGGCACGCACTACCTATCAAACACACCAGCACGACACCCACCCATACCCCCCATAGGTAGGTAGCACGCCACGCCACGCACATCACAAGCAAGCAAACAACCCAAACCCAAACCCCCACCCTCACCAAAAGCGATATACATACATACATACATACATAATACGTTTGTTTATAGCAAGCAAGCAGTATTTGATTTTGATACCCTATTACCTACACAATTTCAGTTTCTTTTTCCCCTCCTCGAAACGCCGACGCTATGCAAGAAGCCAACCAAGGGCCTGCACACGCACACTTCTGCGTGTGGGCGTGAGCGTGCGCCCGTTTTCATCGCTCAGGCCTATTCTCTCTATCTCTCTCTGATGATGCACGCCGTGAAGTGTGCCTAAAACTAAAACTAAAAAAAAAAAGAACTAAAAAAAGTGACCCTTTGCCCCTCCCCCCTTCCATCCTACCCCCAACTCCCTCACCCCCTCACCCCTCACCACATACGCCCTCACACCCCCGCCATCAGCATATCCAGCATCCCCATCGTGCTCCAAGCCTGCTGGCTAATCTCGGCGCACCGGCGCACCGTCTCGTGCAGCCGGTCCACCAGCGCGTCGATCTCCGGGCTCTGCCCCATGTCCTCGGCGTACAGGTCCAGCAGCACAAACGCCACGTCCGCCGCTAGCTGCACGTGTCGCGGATCCCCGACTGCTCGCGTGAGCCACTTCAGCACCGGCTGCAGCGTTAGTTCGTCCCGCCCTTTGAGCGCCACGCGCAGCGCGGAGCGGTGCCGCAGCGCCGTGAGGAGCGTTAAGGTGTCTTGTGGGTTGGCTTGCTGCGAGTGGGCGTTAGCTTGGGATTGGGTTTTGGTTTGGTGCTGTTTTGTTGCTGAAGACATACCTGACTCTCCATCACCAAGTCCAGCGCCCGCTCGTATTGCCCCTTCCGCAGCGCCGTCTCCCACTTGCTCATGTTGCGGATCTTGCCGCGCTCGTTGCCGTCAATGACAATGTCGGCGCCCTCGCCCGTAAAGTCCTTGCCGCGGAGGCGCTTCTCCCAGCCCTTGCCGCGCTTGCGCTTCTTGTCGTACTCCTCGATGCGGCCCTCCATGAGCGCCTGCATCTCCTTGGCCCGCTCGCGCGCCTTGACCTTTTGCTCGCCCGACAGCCGCGTCTTGAGCGACAGCAGCCCGTTCTCCATGCCCACGGCGAGGTGCTTGTCCTCGCGCGCCGCGCCCGACGCTATCACCCCCAGCGACAGAATCGGCGACGGGTACTTGAACCCCGCCACCACGTTCCACCCCGTCGTCTCGAAGACCTTGACGTGTCCGTCCAGCCCTCCACTGAGCACCCGCTCGCCATTGCTGCCCAGCGCCAGGCTCGTCACCGTCTTCTGGTGGTTCTTGAGAATCTGCAACGGCCGTCCTGCCACAAGGTCCAGCACGGAGATCTGGTTGTCGGCCGCCGCGAGCAGCGTCGTGCCCGACGGCAGCGGGAGCACCGACTCGACCGCCGCCGCGTGCTTGAACACCATGACGGCCTTGCCGCGCACGCGCGGGTCCCACAGCCGCACCGTCTGGTCGTAACTTCCGGAGTAGAGAAGGCGGTCCGCCTGGCCCGGCATAAAGCCACCGCAGCGCACGTAGTCCTGGTGCCCGACAAACGTCTGCGTGCTCGCGTCGCTGGGCAGGTCCCACAGGCGCACCGTCGTGTCGTCGGACGCGCTCATCAGCGTCGTCAGCTCCGTCGGGCTCCACTTGGTCACCCACACGGGCTGCTTGTGCTCCTTCCACGTCTTGAGGATCGCGCGCGAGTTGATGTCGAACGCCTGGATGGCGCCGCTGTCGCCGCCGGCCACGAGCACCCGCCCATCGCGCCGGATGTCGCCCGAGTGCGCGCGGTCCTCGACGCCGAAGCGCGTTATCGTCTTGAGCGGCTTGCGCGTGCGGCTGCTAAACACTTGCACGCGCGTGCCGCTCGTCACGGCAAACGTCTCGGGCCCGGCCAGCTGCGACGCCGACGGCGAAAAGGCCGGCGCCGTCACGCTCGTAATCGGCGACGAGTGCGGCGACGGCAGCAGCAGCTGCGACGAAAATGTCCGCCAGTACTTCTGCTCCGGCGTCAGTGCCGAGGGCGCCGCGGGCAGCTTGACGGGCTGCAACGGCCGGATTTCTGCTGCCATTGTTGCAGGGTGCGTGTGTGCGTGCGTACGGGTGTGAGGTCGAATGAGGGTGTGGGTGTCGACGTCGACGTAAGTTGGCCTGCATGTAGGTTGCTTTCACGTTCGAGCGGGCGACATTTTTTGCTGGAGACAGGCGGCATGTTTCCGCGCCGACCTCCGCCGCTCCGCCCCGCTCCGCCAATCAGGGTAGATGCTGCTGCTCCGCCCCGCCCCGTCGTCGTCTCCCGCGCGCGAGACCTCACTCCATGGCTGCTTCCCCACAACCGCCGCCGCCCGCTGCTCCCTCTCCACCAACCCACCGGCGCAATGGACCCCGAACCCCCTTCGTCCCACCCTGAGCCCTCCCCTTCCATCTTCCGCTGGATCCTCGGCTTCTTGCTCGTCGGCGCCGCCTGGGGCCTGACGACGCCGTTCATGCGCCGCGCCGCCGTCAATTACACCCCGCCGACGCGCCCGTACCTCCAGGACCCGAGCGTGTCGTGGGTCAAGCGCAAGCTCTGGACCGTCATCTTCGCGGTTGTCGACTTGCTGCGCAGGCCCGCGTACGCGGTGCCGTTGCTGCTGAACGTGACGGGCAGCGTGTGGTTCTTTTTACTGATTGGCCAGGCTGGTACGTCATGTTATGTTTCGTGGGCCGGTTTTGGGCTAGGGCTGACCTAGGTACCTACTGTTGCATAGAGCTGAGTCTTACGGTCCCAATCACAAATTCTCTGGCCTTTTTGTTTACGGTGCTGGGCGAGTGGTGGGCCGAGAAGAAGGTCATTTCAAGAGGTACGTTGCGGATCCGGAGACGTTATGCTGAACTCACCATGTTTTAGATACGTGGATTGGCATGGCTTTTGTTCTGGGGGGAATCGGACTATGTGTGCATGCCAAGAGCTAGGTTTCTGTTCGCATTTATGTCGTCGTGCTGGATTGCTTAATGTTGGATCAACGTAACAATGGATAATGCTCCTGGGACTGATTTTTTGTTTTATTTCCTGATGCGGTAGTGCGATGGTCAAGGTCGGGTATATGCGATGCTTTCTTGGTCGTCTACGTAGGTAAGCTTGATACTTCTTTTCTGGAGCCCCAGGGTAATTTCCGACCCCTTCTAAATATTTCCCCTACCACATATAAAATGCACCTGCAAAAGTATATGGATTTTCTTATACCCCCGTGTTTTTTTTCTGTTCTCGTACCACATAGGTTACTCTCGTACCTTCACATATTCGTGCCTTTGTATTTATTTAAACACTCTTGTATCCTTGTATATCCACGCTTTAATATCTGTTTGAACACTTTGATATCCTGGTATCTTCTTATCTTCACGTGGTTATCTGGCGACTACTGACCATATCATTAGAACTTATCATGACTGCCTAAAGAGTACTTGATGATGTCGAAGATTTTACTTATTATCTAGCTAAGGAAATTCAAATTACAGCTGGAATACTACAGACGAAGGGGTAAATATGGTTCTTCATCCCCATAGTAAATATAATTCCGTAGAAGCGAAAGTATGCTAGATCGCTTTGAATTAAAATATCATAGATACTGCAACCATGCTCATTTAAATACTCCTATAAGTAGGTTGGAATGCTCCCTGTGGATCACTTCAAATATATACTTGGAGCTATACTATCTACCTCTCCACCAGGTCTCCTCATGCTCCTAGGTACGGCAGGAGTACTCCGTCGGCAGCGCTCGAAAATCGTTCGGATATCTGTGTTCGTGCCCGGTGAGCCTGTGTTCATACCCACATATTCAGCCCTGCGGCCAGGACCATGTCCTCTGGATTGACTGTAGTTCCTCGGTATGGTTGGCATATATTCCGCGAAGGCCGTCGGTCCCTTCAAGCAACCGATTCTATCCCAGGTTAAAGACGGTTTAGCACGAAAAAGCCGGACTAATCACGCAAATGGATGACTGATCCCAGCAGCTGGTCGCAACGATAGATCCTAGTAGCACACCCACACGTCGGGCAAAGATAAGGCACGGGGTCAGATGGTGGGCGAACGATGCAAGGCACTGGTGCGGAGCGGGTGCGGTGAGAAGCTTGGACGCGGCAAGCGACGTAATTCCTGGGAAGCGCCAATGAGCACCGGCAACCTGTGACACGGCTGCAGGCCGCTAGTTGGGTATCTATATCTATCTGGCGAGTCCAGATCGCCCATCTCGTGAGATTCCACTGCGTCTGCGTGCGTGTAATCGACCTCTTCAGCTGAAGCTCTGATCTCACTCCACTTTTGCTTGCCGTTGGCTTAGACTGCTGCCTTGCCTGTCGCTAGCTTTCTTTCTCTACTCTCTCGCTCACAACACAATACAAACTTACCGCACAACGCACACCCTACCCTCGACGCCGCCACAATGACGCGCCGCATCGTGTACGGCATTGGCCTGTGGCTGACCATCGCGGGCACGTCGCCTCTCTCCCCCAGCAACGAGCGATAAGGCTAACCCACGCGCCGCATGCAGCCACGGCCATGACCCTCGCCAGCATCATCGCGCCACGCTGGATGGCCTTTTCCGCCGAAGGCGTACGTCCCCCGTAAACAAACAAACCCACCAAACCACACACACAAACCTAACCGTGCGCCCGGCCGGTCGTGTGCTCTATCAAGGCTACATATGTACAGCAGCTAACACGCGCGCAGCACGGCGCCCACGCCCACCCGGTCCACGTCTCGTACGGGCTGCACCAACGCTGCGACAGCGTGACGGGCGGCTGCGGCGCCTTCCCCCAGCACGCCGACTGCGTCGGCGACAACTGGTCCTTCTGCAGCATGTGGCGCACAGTCGGGTTCCTGATATCGTTCGCAGTGATTATCGAGGCCGCGGCGCTGATCGGCTACGCCGTCGTGCTGCTCGGCGGCAAGCAGAAGCGCGATAAGGGCTACAAGGTCATTTCGGGGCTGTTGGCGCTGGCGGCTGCGGTCCAGATTGCCGGCATGGCGGTTGTGGTACGTTTGCGCGTTTTCGGTTTGTGCTTGTTGGTGGGGTTGGAGGAGGAGGAGAGAGAGGGAAAGATGGCGTGCAGATGGGTGTGATTGCTGGTGCTGACGTCGACGTCTAGGCCTTCCTCTACGACCACGACGAGCGCTTCTTCCCCCCCGGCTGGCACCTCGACAACTCCTGGATCCTGTGCACAGTCAGCTGGAGCGTGCTAGTGATGACGGTGTGCGGGCTCGTTGGCGCCGCTGTCGTGTTGCCAGAAGAGGGCGACTATGAGCTCATTCCCGAGGGGCGGATGTAAAGGCGAGCAAAGCGAGCAAGAGAGCACGAAAGTAAAAGAGCAAAGCAAGCAAGAAAAAGGACAGACACCACCAAGCACGCGATACTCCAAAGACGAATAACCCAAGCATACATATAGACGACGGAACGACCCAGCGTAGACGGCTTCATTTAGGCACGCACGAGTAAAGAGGACAGGCCGTACAGGGGCTGTCTCTACGATGACAGGAAGCGCATTAGGCGGGCCTTTTGCCTTTTTTTTTTTTTTTAATTTTCTTTTTTTCGTTTCCTTTTTCTTTTCATTTTCTTTTCCCCGCGTGTCTGGCGTTTCTGGCGCCCTGGTTAGGGTTGGGTAACGCGTAATATCAACATCATATCGGCATCGGCCACGCTGTTATTGTCTTTGTTTCTCTGTCTGCTGTGGCCCGGACAGACACTGCGTTTTGGTATATCAACACTCACATTGATAGTCAGCTCGTCGCGGTACAGACATAGACATGCCAGCCCCCATCCCCCTCACAGTGAGCTCCAGCGTAGAAGCAGAAGCAGAAAAAGAGTATGCCAATTCGCCCCCACTACCTAGGTCTGGATGGCAAGGATAGACTCCTATACCTACATCAATGCTTACAGGCAGCTCGAACAACTCCTCCCTACCACGTATAAGCTCGTTCGCAGCCCGACCACACTCCTATGGCCGCCCAATCACGGCCTTCTTCCCGCGCGCCTCGTTGCCTGCTGTTGCGCCTGCCTTACCACACCCAACCCAACCCAACCCATCACAACCCAATGCGAAGAAGTGAGCCGCGTCAATTACTTACTCAAGCGCACTTACTCAAGCGCACCTACTCGTACCCAGAGATGACAAGGACGCGTAGAGCGGCGGTGTGGAAGACATGGTCTGCGTGATGCTTAAATATAAACTGAGTATGAGTACAAGACGCCTACCTCTATCTTCGTAAAATGATTATTATCGCCTATTTTAGCCGTGCTTCGTCTCGTACTTAGAATGTTTAAGGAAATAAGGGAATATAAGCATAACCAACGCCAACGCCAACGCCAACATAAGCAGCTCTATAAAGCAGTCCGCCGATCCCGGTCCCGTCTCTCTCTGTTTGGTCGGCAATACCCTCCTCGACCAACTTATCTCACCTCACCGCAACTCAAACGACACCCCTCCTCCCCACGCCCGTGCGCTTCTCCTTCTCCCTCCTCTCCCTCTTCTCCACCCTCTCCCCCTTCCCCCCCCCAGCAACCCCACCCCTACCCTCCCGTCCCTCCCGCCCCAACCTCTCCCGCTGCGCCTCAACCGCCCGCCACACCTCCCTCGCGCGCTCGCGCTCTTCCCTAGCGCTAGCGCCGTCACGCGCACGCGCACGCGCCGTCCTAGCACTGGTACCTGCAGCACCAACGCCTGTGCTGGCACCATGCCCATGCCCACTGCAAGTAACGCCCACGCCACCACTACCACTACCCTCACCGCTCCCACTTCCCTTGCCGTTACCAATGCAATACACCGCGTCCCCAACCCTTCGGACGCGCACCGCGCGCGCGGCGAGGGCTGCGCTTGTGCTGGTCGTCTGCGTTGGCGCCGGCGTCTCAGTGGTCCTGCGGTTGCTCTTGCTGTTGCTCTTGCCGCTGACAGCGCCTCTAACGCTCCTCCCGGCCCGCTTTGCCGCTCTGGCGACGTTGGTGTTAGCGGAGACGGTGGTGGAAGAGGAGGAGGAGGAGGAGGAGGAGGAGGAGGAGGTGCTGGAGATTGGGATCGAGACAGGCACAGGAATTAACGAAGGCGAGCGGGGGAGGGGGGGCGAGCGCCTCGTCTTGACTATGGCTGTGTCTGCGTCTGCGTCTGCGCCTGCGCCTGCGTCGTCTTCGTCTTCGCTGTTGTCGTCGGCGGACTCGATCTCGATCTCGGTTTCAGTCTCGGTTTCGGTCTCAGAGTCCATGTCAATAGCCGCCACGCCGCTGGTGTAGCCGCTTGTTTCTGCTTCTGTTTCTGGCTCTGGCTCAGCTTCCGCTGCTGCTCTGGTCCTAGTCCTGGTCCTAACTGCGGTTACGCGGTGTGGGTGCGGTGGCGGGAGCAGCAGCGGTGCCGGCGCCGCCCCCGTCGTCGCTGTTGCCCAGCGCGAGGCGCGGAGGCCTGCTGCCGAGGCGGGTGTGGGGGCTTTGCTGCCTGTGGTGCTGACCGTGCGTGTGCTTTTCGCTGCTTTCTGTGGCTCGGGCTCTGCGCGCTTGGGGTGGTGGTGTTCGTATTGTTGCTGCTGCTGCCGCTGCATCTCGGCCGGGAAGTAGTTGATGAACTTGAGGGGCTGGGCGATGGTGCCGGCGCCGGTGGTGAGGGCCGAGAGGGGCTTTTTGCATGGGACGGATGGAGGGGAGGGGGGGAGGGAGGAGCTGGGGCGCGGATGGAGGTTGCTGCTGTTGTTGTTGCTGCTGTTGTTGGTGGTGGTAGAGAAGCCGGCAGCGTTGGCAAGCTTGACGGAAGCATTACCAGCATCACCAGCAGCAGCAGCAGCAACAGGCTCCTCCACCCCCAAATCAATCAGCGCATCATCAGCAAGCCTCTCCGGCACCAGCGGCGGCGCCAGCAACCCCTTAGCCTCGCGCTCCTCCCTCTCCTTCTCCGCCTTCGCCCGCAGCTGCAGCCACGTCGGCTGCGCCGGCTCAGAGCGTCCCAGCCGGATCGCCGTGCGCTCGGCATACCAGCGCGGCGTGTGCAGGATCCCGATGCTGCGCAGCGTGTCGCGGTCCGGCATCTCGTGCTTGTAGCGGCAGCCCTGCTGTACGAAGTCGCACTCGCCCGTCCGGATCCAGTACGTGCAGTAGTGCTTGCGGGCGGGGTCAGGCTCGCGGCCCGAGGGGGGCAACAGGCTTGGGGAGCGGGTTTCGGGGTTGGTGGGTGTAGTCGTGGTGGTGGTGGTGGTCTGCGGGGAGGGCGTCAGTGTGTATTTGGCAGAGGAAGAGGAGGAGGAGGAGGAGGCGTGGAGAGATGAACTGACCTTCCTGTCCTTCTCGCCCGTCTTCTCACCAGCCCCGGCAATCCCCAGCTTCTTGCGCACAGCGGCATCAGGCGCCACATACTGCTTCCAGGCCTCTTCTTTCGCGGCGGCCTCGCCGCGCACCAACTCGAACGCTAGCTCGCCGGTGCGCGGCCGCTCGCCCAGGTACTCCAGGCCGCGCGCATCGTCGGAGCTGATGTTGCGCGGGGCGCAAGGCAGGCGCACGTCGGGCGGGAGCTCGTCGACCGCTACCACGGGCACGAGCACCCCGTTGCCGCGCGAGATGAACCAGCTGGGGCGGTGCAGCGTCGTGGGCTGCTGTTGTTGTGGGGGTGGGGACGCGGGGTCCGGCGCGTGGATGCTGCGGTGCATGGTGTGTTTGTGTGTGTGTGGATGTGTTTGAACTAGGTAGGTAGTAAATTGAAGTGATGGATAGATAGCAGTAAGAACAGTAACGGAGACGATGGAGAAAAGACAGCCCGCCGTTCAAGAAGGCGCATTTATATATGACAACCAGAGAGCAAAGCAAAGAACGAAGCATTTGCCAGACGCAGGCGACAAATAAACAGAAACAAAGCCAGCAGGCGCGCTGGCAGACAGCAAAACAGATGGTCAATCAGCCAACAGGGCAAAGACAAACAGTCTCAAACCCCCCAGACAAGCACAATGCATATCCAAGATCCCCACCTAGTTCTATCCCGCAGCAGCCGCCGCCCGCTTGCATCGCGCATCTCCCCGCCACGAGACAGACGGCTCAGGCAGGCGTGTCAAACGCGCGGCGGCGCGGCTTCGTGCAGCTCAAATGGCCTTTGTGCTACCTGCCTACCGCGGTGGACTGCTTGCTCGTCGGCGATCGAGTTTTTTTTTTCTTGTCTGAAAGAGAGATGGAAGAAATGTGACTGTTGCGAGGAAAAGAGATCGGGGTACTTACCGTCGTACATACCTGGAGCCAGCGTGCATGCGATCCAGGATGGAGATGGAAGACGACTGCGGTGCACCACTCAACACCATCCACCTAGTCGTAGCCGAAGCAACCAGACCAGACTCTTACTCTCCCTTCCATCAAAACACTGCTCACCTTCAATCACCCCAAACCACCCCCTCAAACCCACCCCCATTCCACACCCTCTCCTTACCACCCACCTCTCCTTCTCCCCTTCCCCCCGCCCCTTAACACCACCTCCACCACAAAGCACCGTACCCGGACATGACACGACGCCACGGACCCAGCGCCCGCGCCCTCCTCCTGTCTCTCCGCACAGACTCCGCTCAGCCCAAGCCCCTCCGCAGAACCCCTCCCCCTCACCCCTCGCACCCTTCGCACCCCTCGCACCCTCCCACCTCGCAACCACCTCGCAACCAGCATAAGCCCGTACCAACAGCAGACCCAACCAACGCGCACCCCACAACAACAACAACACGCCCCCGTATCGTAAGCCGTAAGTCATAAAACGTAAGTCGTAACGCCACCCCGCCAGCAGCGGAGCGGGCGCACGCACAGCCCCGCTCGAAACGAAACGAAACAAAACACACGCGCGAGCGCGGGCTGGTAGGTGGTTAAAGCAGCAGCTGGAGGTCGGTCGGTGCCGCGGGGCCGCGGTATGAGATAGAGCGGGACGCGAGTCAGTCGGTTGGCGTGGGTGCGTGCGTCGCGTTGGGTGCGCGTGTTGTGCGCGTGTCGTGCGCGTTGGTGTTGGTGTTGGTTGATGGGGAAGGGGGAAGGGCTGGCTGTGTGCGTTGTGTGTTAGTATTTGTGGGTGGGGAGGTGATCAGCTATGGTGGTTGGGGGGTTTGCGTGTGCTGCAGCGGGTGAGATTGATTTCAATATCTATAGGAGTAGGTACAGTCCAGTCTGATAAGATCGACATCTCTCTTGTATAATGGCAAAGATATGCGAAAGGTGCGCTAAATCTACTCGGGATATTTGATACCAGGGTCGGAAGTGCTGACCAACTCGACGTCTGGCATTCGCTCCACGTCTGATGATCTCTGCCCATAACTCCCGCTAGGCCTTGGTATACAGACGAACATGGAGTATCCGATAGGTAGTAGAAAAGTAAGAGTAGTATTCTCCGATCCGAAGTAATAGCAAGCTTCGTAAGCAACGTCGTGTATATGGATGCGCAGCCCAAAGCCCGCGCCTCTCCACGTCTACACTCCGCCATCGTGGTATCGTACAAAAGCCTGTCGGCCGCCTCACATGGCCGGCCCGCCCAGGCTCGACTTGGGCGCCTTCTTCCGGCTGCCCTTGGCTTCGCCGTCCTCCCGCTTCCGCTTCGTCGGCCGGCTGCTCCCACCCTTGGGCCGGTACGGCTCGTCGTCCTTGTTGCGCCTGCCGCGCGCGCTACCCGTCTCTGGGGCAAAACCGCCTTCCTCGTCGTCGGCTTCCGTCTTGGAGGGCGTGGCGACATTGGCCGCACCGCCGCCGCCGCCGCCGCCGCCACCTCCTCCTCCGCCCTTCTTGCGGCCGTTGCCGGCGCCTTTTCCGGTGCCCTTGCCCGTCCCCTCGCCGCCCTCTTTGTCGTTCTCCTTGTCCTGCAGGAACACCTGCGGCTGGTGCTTGCGCAGCCAGTTGTACACCGAGTCCGGGTTGCGGATCTGCAGCTCCTTCTCGCTGGGGATGTCGCGCGCGGCGAGCCGGATCGGCCGTCCCGACGAGTCTTGCGGATCGTAGCTGGCCGGGTCGTTGAGCGCGTTGTCCAGCGCCTGCAGGTACTCGTCCTCGTGGTTGGGGCTCAGGTAGCCCGGCGGGTGCTCGCTGCCAATGTCCAGCTCGTCGGGCAGCGGGTCGGGCGGCTCGCGCGTGTGCGGCGTCCGCAGCAGCGACGTCAGCGTCTTGATCGGCGCGTCGCTGAGCTGCCGCGTTACGTGCGCCTCGAGCTGCGCAAAGACTTCGGGCGTGATGACGCCGCTGGCCAGGTCGTTGCGGGCCTCGTGCAGCCGACGCTGGGCGGCTTCTAGGTTGCCTGCCTCGTCGGGAACGTCGGCGGAGCTGGAGCAAATGTCGTATCGGAGGTGCATTGGGATTTTGACATTCTCATTGATGTCGAGAAGCAGGTCGAGGAGTTGGCTAGCGATGACAGGTCAACACCACGGTGCGAACGACGACGACGTGGAAGGCGCACTCACTCGTTCTGTTCCTGCAGACGACGGGCCAGAGCCATGGCCTTGTGCTCCTCGCGGAAAAGCATGTTGCTTTCGCGCATGCGGTCGTCGAAGCGCATGCGCATCTTGCGATACTTTTTCCTGCGGCATGATTAGCGGTGGTGGTGATAATGATGATGATGATGATGCGATGAGTAGTGCACCCTCACCTCCACGACTTGAAGGCTGGCCTGTTGACCTGGCCCGACAGGTCCATGGGATCAGGCATGGAGTTGTTGTTGGACGGCACCGGTGGCGGGGCTTGGTCGGGGCCCTGGGACATGTCGTCAAGTGTGGCCATGGTGTGGTGTTGGTGGAATGGAGGGTGGAGTTGGATGTACGCAAGCCCCCGTTACGAAAGGCTCACGGGCTCAAGGCTCGTGAATCTGAATCGCCGCGCCGACACCACCGACCCTGGTCAAGTCTCCACTCCGTCCAGCCTCAAGGGACCGACCGCCGCTCATCACCCCCCAGCAAACATTCCCACCGTCACTCTCTCCTCTTCCATCCACCTTCACCTTTCCACCTCCACGCATTGCGCTTCCGCTACAACTCTCTCCACGACGCCCAAAGGCCTCACTGCACCTCAACAGCCCCCCTGTCGCCGCGTCGCCATCCATCCTTCGCTGCGTCCACCCCCCGACTGCCGATCCCGCACTTTTCCCCATAACCTCCACAACACCGCCAAACTGTCGCCCATACTCATCAACCGGACGACCTCTTTCCAGGTCGATCCGCATCCCGGTCACCTCAGCCAGGCCCATGCCGAGCGCAACATGAGCGGCGACAAGGTCGGCAGGAGGCGCCGCTCCTCCAGTCTGATGTACACGGAGCCCCCGGAGTCGCTGGAGCACATCAGCGACCAGGCCGCCCTGCCCAACCTCAACGCCGAATGGGTCAATGCAAAGGGTAAGCTGCGCGAGACGGACGAGACGCCCCGAGCTGACACGTGTGCCAGGCGCCTGGGTCATCCACTTCGTCCTCATCATCTGCCTCAAGATCCTCTTCGACATCATCCCGGGCGTGTCGCAGGAGACGTCGTGGACCCTGACCAACATCTCGTACATGTTTGGCTCGTACCTCATGTTCCACTGGGTGCGCGGCGTGCCCTTTGACTTCAACGCCGGCGCCTACGACAACCTCAACATGTGGGAGCAGATTGACAACGGAGACCAGTACACGCCGGCCAAGAAGTTCCTCGTCAGCGTGCCCATCTTCCTCTTCCTGATAAGCACTCACTACACCCACTACGACCTGACCTTTTTCCTTATTAACTTCATGGCGACCATTGCCGTCGTGATACCCAAACTCCCGTTTGTAAGTCGCGTGCCCCCTTTGTCTCACTCGCCGACCCCGCGCCCTCGACTGACCCGATTCGCCAGACGCACCGCCTGCGGTTGGGCCTCTTCTCTGGCCCGCCCGACGAGAGCTAGTCACCTCTGACTTTCTTCCTCTGTATTCATATATGTTCCTACTACTACGTCTGAATCAAATGGGTGCTGCGCCCCGCCGCAGCATTTGCGTTCCTTACAACTGCCACCACTCATCATACCAAAATACCCTGGACCGTCTTCCAGAGAATGCTGGGTTTCCGGAGTCTGATTCTTCATTTTCCTTTATTGTTCTCTTTTTGTTGTCCCTCGCCTCTCTGGGCCAAATACGCACACGAAGTTGATCATTTCTCGCGCCGAATTGTTTTTCGACTTTCGATATGGACGGCAAGGAAGACGCGAGGGAGCGGTGCTGTTTGCAAGGCCCGCGCGAACCAAGACGGCTGTTGCGCGAGCCTTGGTGGGGAACTTTGGGATGGGACGGGTTGGGTCAGTTGCGGGAGTTTTAGATGTCGGGAATCGATCTTCCGCGTTTGCTTTTTTTTATTATCTCTTTTTCCGGTCTTCATTTTTGTCTGTTTCCTCTTGCTCGTCTCAGTCTCTTTCATCGTGTCGCACAGCGTTCCCCGCGCGTGATTGTCGCCACCGCGGTTCGCTCGTGGTGCGCTCTCCGCCCGCACGATCCGCTAAGCGTCGCGTCGCGTCGCACGGCGGAGCGCTGTCCGCTGCAGCCCTAGGTTTCCGGTCATCGCGTCGATCGCGCTCACGCTCCCTCTCCTCTCCTCTCCGCTCCGCTTCTCCTCCATCCCCGCCCACACAGACACAGACAGACACAGACAAACACACACGCCCATCCGCACCCCCACCACGACCCTATTCCTCCTGCACGCCCACCCACCGCCTGCCTCCTGCCGCTCCGCTCCCTCCATCCATCCAACCCTCTCGCGCCCTCCTCCTCTTCGGCCCGACACCCTCACCCCCAAATCTAGGTACCACCCTCCGCCCTCGCCCCGCGTCGCGTGCCCTCACGCGCCGCCACGCCCACCACCGCGCACCGCGACTCGCTATTTGCGCACCACGCCGTGCCATGCCATGCCATGGCATGCGCTCGATAGCGTGCGGGCGGGCTAAACCCTGCTGGCTCGGCTCGGCTATTACTGCCTGCCTGCGCCTGTGCCGTGCGCGCATGCAATACCACATATGGCCATGGCACTGGCAGGTACAATATGGCCTGCGCATGGGGCCACGCCGTACGATGCGCGATGCGCGGGCGGGGCCGTGTGTGCCATGGCGTGGCGTGTGCTAGTGCGCGAGCATGGTGCGTGGGCTGTGGGCGCATTGTGGGGAGATGTCAGGCCAGGGGGACGGGATGGACGGGATGGGATGGGATGGGTTGGGACGGGTTGGGATGGGACGTTGTAGGTTAGTGGGTAGTGGGTGAGTGAGTGGGTGAGTGCAATAGGTATGTACCTGCCTAGGTACCTAGGTGATCACTGATCCTAATCGCGGGCACGTCCACCACTGTCCACCCAGTACCTACAATAGGCAGGTGCGAGGTCCGAGCCGACGTCTACCTAGTCGGATCAGTCGGATCTGCATATATATGTACAATACAATACAAACACTATCTAGGTACTTATAGCCGCACGTAGCTATAAGTATAAACGTAGAAGTATAGTCGGCTCTTTTACACCTCTCCCTGCCTCACTGCCTTACTAGCTGCCTAGCTACGCACTAAACACCCGCCATACATATATATCTCTTGCGGGCGTTATAACTCCCACCTACTATAATGCCCTCCACCTATACTACTATAAATAAAATACATACATACGTACTTATAGTCCACGTCCAGCCCAGACCAGACCTGCTTTGGCCATGCCGTGGCTGGCTTCAGCGCGCATGCGTATGTGCGTGTGTAGTGATGGTCCGGGTCGTGGACTATAGTGGTTGTGGCTTGTGCTTGTGCTTGTGCGCTTTAGGGCCCCTTTTGGTGGTGCTGGTGGTTGTGGGGGTGGTGGCGCTCTTGGAAGGATTTGGGGACGGAGGCTGTTGGTTGTTGGGTTGCGGTTGGCGTAGTTGGGTTGTTTATAAGGGTTCAGTGTTGTAGAGAGGAACAGTATGAGAGTCAAGATTAAAGAGGTTTATTGTACGTTGTATGTACATCCGTACTTCAACCCATCTACCCTGGCCTCTTCCGCATGCTACGTGCAGCCTTACGCACGCACACAAAGCTAGGCAAGTAAGTAGGTAAGCCCAACCTCACCCCAGCCCACCGCACCCACCCTACTCAAGTGCATAAAGCGTACGCACAACAGCCTCATACTCCGTCCTCCCCGCCTCCCCATCCAGCAGCACGCGCACCTGCTCATCAGCCGTACCACCCTTCTCGCTCGCAACGACAACAACGCGCACGCGCCACAGCTTCTTCGCTGCGTCTGCGTCTGCGGCCGGCGCCACCGTCACCACTGCGATGTCCGCCTCGTCGATGCCGTGGCTGCTGCGCCGGAACGCGATGAGGCCTTGGCGGGTGCGTCGTTAGTCGTTAGTGTACGGAAGGAGGAAGAGGGCGAGGGGAGGGGAGGTGAGGTGGGGAGCGCACGCTGGATCAGGCGCATGGCGTCCATTTTTCTGGCGAGGGAGGGCGGGTTCGCGTTCGGGCGCATGGTGGTGCGTCGAGTGAGTGGTTGCGGGTGCAGGGCAGGAGGGCGGTGCGGTGCGTTGGTCGGAGATGAAAGAGCGAGGCGTTGTTGAGGGAATGGGTGGTTGATATGAGAGGTTTACTGAAGGGTTGCTGAGAGGTGGGGATGGCGAAAACGCCCTGTTGTAGAAGGTGCGACCCAGAGGACAGGAACGGAAGTCACTGACGTTTAATGCTTCACTAGGGCTGTTACACCACCCTTCTAACACATAGCCTATCTCAAAGCACTCCTGTACACTCTCCGCTGTCTACAAACCCCTTCACACCTACCCGCCAACTGCACCTACCCAAACCCCTCACCTGATCCGTCACTCTCTCCACCCCAAAGCTATGCAACACTGTGGGTAAGAGGCGGGTTTGGTAGGGACACATTGTGGGCAGATCCGACTCTTAACGTCACTGCAGCAGCATCAACGTCACTAGAGTAGGCCAACAATTAAAGCTAACAGCATAATTTAATCCAAGTCTAGCAGCACACATGCATCATTGCCGTCTCCAGGGCGCCAAACAATCAACCCAAACACCAACAACAACGCTCAAACAACCCCATCACAAACCACTACCACACCTAGAACCCCCACTGCTTCATCCAGTTCGTGAACAGCGCCGCATCCACCGCCTTCAGCTCGCGCAAACACTCACTGTTGGCCGTCGTATGCGTCGTCTCCATAGGCGGCAACGCACCACCCGGCACCCTCAAGCCCTCATAAAAGTCGATAATCTTCACACCAGGCTTGCGCGCGACCTCGGCCGCATCCGTCAGCGGCACCGCCTTCAGCGCGACCATCCACTCGTCGAACTTGACCGCCTTCGGCTGCGCGTCGGTGTAGAACGCCTGGATCACCGGCACCAGGTCGTTCCACGAGCACGTCCGCGGGTTCACAATGTGGAAGACGTCGAGTAGCGGTGTGCCCGCCGCGTCCGCCCGGCGCTGCCCGTTCCGGCTCATCGTCACCTGCACCACCGTCCCCGCCGCCGCGTCCATCGGCACCCAGTCCACTATGTCCTGGTTGCCCAGGTTCGCGGGCACCATGCCCATGTTCTTGCTCGTGTGCACGATGCTCGGCAGCCACTCGTGCCGGTTCCAGCATCCCTTCTCCTGCCGCGGGCCCGCCAGCTGTCCGCACCGTATAATGCTCGCCGGCACGCCCGCCTGCTGCGCCGCCACCCCCAAAATGCGGCCCGCCACGTGCTTCGACTCGCCGTAGCCCTGCGGCAGCGGCGCCCGCTCATCCTCAAAGAAGCGCTCCGGCACCGGCCCGCTGCCGAGCGTCGGCCAGTTGCCAACACTGGCAATCGACGAGATGAAGACAATGTGCGCGCGGTGCTGGCTCTGCAGCGAAAAGTCGACGACGCGGCGCGTGCCCGCAATGTGCGTCGGCTCGTACGACTCGAGCGTGTGGTTGAAGTCGACTGCCCACGCGTTGTGGATGAAGGTGGTGGCCGTCTTGGCAAGCTCGTCGTACACCTCCTGCGACAGGCCGAAGCGGGGCTGGCTGAAGTCGGTGCGCAGGAAAGTGACCTTGGAGAAGTCGGCCGGCACGTCGCGCTCCGTGAAACTCTGAGCCTGGCGCTTTTCCGCGGAGTCGGAGCGGTTGAGGCAGTAGACCTTTTCAACAGAGGGAGAGGCAATCAAGGTCTCGAGGACGTAGTTGCCCAGAGAACCAGTGGAACCGGTGAGGAGGACCGTCTCCTTCTCAGGCAGAGCGGGCAGAGGAGCGGCCGACTGAGGAAGGTCTTCCGTGTACTTCTTTATCATCTCCGTCATCACCTGCTCGCGAGGGATGGCAGGGCCCTCATCAACCTTAGAGAACTTGGCCAGGAGGGCCACCGCCAATTTGTTCACAGTGGGGTTGCTGTAGATTTCGCGGGGGACAACAGCCGTGCTACGGTCATTCTCTCCATCACCCTTGATGGCATGGCTAAGGGTGCCGGCAAGAGCCATGACCTGCAGCGAGTCGACACCCAAGTCGAAGATATCAGTGTCGTCGGTAACGTCACCCTGGAAAGGCGGAAGAGCCAAGCCGAAAGCCTGGCGCAGGAAAGCCTTCGTCGTCAGCAAGTCGGAGTTCTTGTCGAGCTTGCCAAGCTTCTCGTCAAAGGTCTCGCTCGAGTACAAAGCCTCAATTTCCTGCTCGTAGAGAGCAATCGTGGCCTTGCGCTGAATAGAACCCTTGGGAGCGCGGGCAAAGGGCTTGTCCCTCTTAGTGAAAGCAACCTTGGACTTCCACACCTGACCATGCGCGGGAGCCTCCCTGTTGGCTTCCTCGATAGCGGGCCACAGCTCTTCCAGGAGCCAGCTCGCATCCTGATCCTCCTTGACCTTGGCCCAGTCGGGCTCGATGATAACGGCAGGTTGGAAGCGGCCCTGGCCAACCACCACGGCACCCCTGGCGAGAGGGTGGTTCTCAACCGTCTTCTCGAAGCTGACAGGGTTGAACTTCTCACCGTTGCTGAAGACGATGACGTCGTCACGACGACCCTTGTACCGCCAAAGTGCAGGCTTGGTCGGGTGCTGCTCCCAAAGGTCCTTCGTCCTCCACTCGGAGAGTTCGGGGAAGGTGTAGAAGACACCGAGGTACTTGGGGTCAGTGATAGGCTTGAGGAGTTGTTCCTTAAGGCCTTCGCCGGCATCCTCCATGACAACACCAGAGTTGGGGTGCCACTCAAAGTATTGCCAGTCCTCCTTCGATTCCTTAAGCAGACTGGTAATCAAACCAGCCTCGGTTGAGCCGATAACGGGGTTAAGGTTGGTGACCTTGGTGATCCGGTCGCCGGCTTCCTTGGCAAGAGGAGCTCCGCCGAAGTAGGCGAACTCGAGGGAACCGAGAGCGTCAAGTCCCCTCTGAGTCTCACTAATTTCCTCCAGCATGGAAGGAGCAAAGAGACCGCACGAAGCCTTCTTCAGCTGCAGAATGTCGATTGCGAGCTCCGAGTTGGCAATGCGACCGAGCGGGGGAAGGACAAGCGTGCCGGAGTACACTGAACGAAGAATGATGATGACACCCATGGTGTGGAAGCTATGTATCGTTAGTCATGCGAGTATGTAAGGCTTCATACTATTACTCACAATGGTAGCATAGTCAGCGCGGTCGTGTCCGATTTCATAAAGCCCTCAAACCCGGGCAAACGTCCGTCCGGGCAGCGTATATACTTCTGATGGTCAAGCGTGGCCATCCAACCGTTGGTGATGTAGATCGGCTTCGGCAGACCCGTGCTTCCCGAGGTGTGGAGAACCAAGACTTGCTCGAACTCCTTTACGCCACCGTGTGCCTCGTAATGCGATCCGTCGCTGACCATCTCGTCGAAAGTGGGAATCTGGTATCCAGGAATACCGCTCTCGTTGAGCGGCTTCAGGTATTTCTCCATACCCTCGCTGTGGAGGAAGTGCGAGCATTCGGTACGCTGGAGGAGGTTGGTTTGGCCTTCTTCGGAGTTCTTGAGCGAGAGGAGCAGGGCCTGCATTGGCAAATGTCAGAAATAATTCGACTACAACTTGATAGCATTGGTGATGTCTGACCTTGCGGTTGGTCTTCATCAATGCGCAAATGATGACGGCGTAGCGAACATCGTTGACACTGTATCAATGTTAGCACTGCTAACCAACATGACATTGGACATGCTGACCCCATGTAGGCTACGGTTTCGCGAGCCTCGCCAACGCCCATGGTCTTTTCGATCCATTTCGCAGCACCGTTGATAGCGCCAGCAAATTCGCTGAAAGTAATATCCCTCCACGCTCCGTTAAGGTCGTTGCTCGTCGGGACGGTCACCCAGACCCTCGACGGGTCAGCGGCGGCAATGCCATCAATACGGTGGGTGAGAGGCTTGTCAGCGAAGGGAGAGAAGCCGAGATTCGAAACGCCTGCGATGGAACCCATGATTGAAATGCTAAGTAGAAATCCTTGGGGTATTAGATGTAAAAAGCTGTAAAGTAAAACAAGAACGCTTTCGTAGAAATGCCGTGGTGGTGCTTCTGCTGCTGCTAGTAGTGCCTGGAAGAAAGGCGGCAACCGGCCTCTTATATATATTTGACCTCAAGCTATATCACCGGACAAGAGACGGAAGCAAGCCCGTGGCGTCTAGGCGCGGCTTGTGCGGCTTGCACAGCACTGTGTCGGGATAGACCCTCCCGCTGAGATATTTTCTGCTGCATATTGCCACGAATGCAAGCTGTGCCAGCCGTGCACTGCGGAGTTTGGGAGGAAGGACTCTGGGAGGGGCATAGCGATGATGTGTGCCGTGATCCGTGAGTTTCGTCATGAGCACCTAACGGTTGAGATCTTGCTCGGTGGGTGCCTGGCCACGCGACATCGGACCGTTGGAGAAGGGTTCAGGAGGTTTCGAAATCTTCTAAATCATGGCCATCGCCCACCTCGACTTGCCCTGGCCACCCTGACCACGCTCTTTCTTCATTGGCCAACGGCGCGCTTGATCGTTGCTGCGTCTCGAAGCGTCCCTGCGTGGCCACACTGCAACGATAATGTTCCGTGCTCGGAGGGCCGTTGAGCTCATGGGTGCGTGTTGCGTGGAATGTCAGCCAGAACTCGTAACTACATCACGTCATGGGTGCACGGCGATATGATCGTAGCCAGGAGACAAGCCTCCCCAAGACGCCTCTGCCGCTGTTGATTGGACGTCCGTTGGACGCAAGGACCGGGCCGTGGACGATCGAGGCTTGGATTGTGGTGGTGTAGGATGGAAAAGCTTAATCTAACGGTCCACCACGTCGCACGAGGGAGACGTTTCAGCAGCGGATCCGCCGGAGACCAGGTTTGGATTCAACGTGCGCTCGGAGATCGACCTGGGATCGCGATCCAAACCGAAACTCGCGCGAGAGAAGTACGAGCGGCACGTAGAAAAGGCATTTCAGGTCCCGCCGAGGTTCCTGAAGAAAAGCTGGACCGCTGGCCTCCTTGCCGGACACGCCAACCACCAATGACGAACGCGGATACGAAGGGTCAAGAGCCGGGCTTGGAGACCGCTCAGCTGTGTTTACCTCGGGGATAGATGGTCGTCGGGAATGGAGAGCGGCTGCGAGCGGACCGGAACAACACGCGCCCGGCGATTACTGAACCCGTCGGGAACCCGCCAGGCCAGAGTGGGGAAAGGGAGACATCTTCGGTAACCCGCCAACCGCCAGAGCTGGCCGCAGGTGTGACCAAGAGTGGGGGACCGCCGCTATCTCTGTATTCGTCCAGATGCAGCCAAGCATGCCACCAATGTCTCCGCGCGTCTGCCAGATGCCCGACATCATGTCTCGAGACCAACCATGAAGGCCGATATACCCGCGAATAAGACGGAGCAGCAGGAGCTGGACCAGCAGGAACCCGTTCCCGAAAATGCCGACCACTTGCAGCGAAAGCTCTCGAATCGCCAGCTGCAGTTCATCGCAATCGGCGGCTCCATAGGCACCGCTCTGTTCGTCAGTATCGGTTATGGCCTCATCGAGGGCGGCCCCGGCAGCCTCTTCCTCGCCTTCGTCATCTACAGCTGCATGATGGCAACTGTCAACAGCTGCGTAGCCGAAATGGCAGTCTTTATGCCCGTCAGCGGATCTTACGTGCGCATGGGATCGAAATGGGTCGACGAGGCTCTCGGATTTACCGCTGGATGGAACTTCTTCCTATACGAAGCCATTTTGATTCCTTTCGAGATATCAGCGCTCAACTTGGTCCTGGGATACTGGAGCAAGGATATACCGCTGGCAGCCGTCTGTGCGGCTTGCATTTTTCTCTATGGGTAAGCTGGCTGCGATCGGGCAGCCTAGCGTGTCAGAACTGACGCGTACCGCAGCGTCATTAACTTATTCGCTGTGCGATGGTACGGTGAGAGCGAGTTTTGGCTTTCGTCCGGAAAACTGATACTCATATTTATGATGTTTCTTTTTACGTTTGTCACCATGGTTGGTGGCAATCCCCAGCACGACGCGTATGGCTTCCGCTACTGGAGAAATCCTGGATCGTTCACGGCATATGTAACGACTGGACCCCTCGGCCATTTCGAAGGGTTTCTCGGTGCTTTTTACCAAGCTTCCTTCACGATCGTTGGACCCGAATACATTGCGATGGTTTCTGGAGAAGCGCAACATCCGCGGAGGACCATAAAGCAAGCCTTTAAAACGGTTTACTGGCGATTTGGATGCTTCTTTATATTGGGAGCGCTTTGCATTGGAATTGTGCTGCCGTACGACGATCCCACATTGAACAAGATCTTGAACAACGGGGACACTGGAAATGCTGGAGCCTCGCCGTATGTCATTGCCATGCAGAATATGGGTATCAAGGTGTTGCCCGACGTTACCAACGCGCTCCTGGTCACCAGCATCTTCTCGGCAGGAAATTCGTACGTTTACGCCGCGACGAGAACTCTCTACGCTCTTGCCTTGGACGGCCACGCCCCGAAATTTCTGGGGATATGCACGAACAAGGGCGTTCCCATCTGGGCCTTTGTCGTCACCATGCTGTTCCCATTCCTATCATTCCTTTCCGTCGGGAACGGCGCATCCGCTGGACTGAAGTGGTTGGCGAATCTAACGCAAGCATCGCAGGTCATGAACTACATCATGATGTGTATCATATACCTCTTCTTCTACCAGGCCCTCCGGGCCCAAGGTTACTCGCGTGATAGCCTTCCCTACCGTGGATGGTTCCAACCGTATACCGCTTGGATCGCACTGACCTGCATGATCCTAACCGTCAGCACTTACGGCTACACGGTATTCTTGCCCGGTTGGTGGAAGGTCGGGACCTTCTTTACCTATTACACCATGGTGTTTGTCTGCATCATCTTGTATGTCGGCTTCAAGGTGTTGAAGAAGTCGAAAATTGTGCGCTCTGCAGAGGCTGACTTGGTGTGGGAACGCCCAATCATCGATGCCTATGAGGCGGCTACCGAACCACCGTTGGGCATTTGGGAGGACCTTGGCGCCTTCGTGGGGATCAAGAGAAAGAAGGCGGTGGAGTATCAGGAGTAGACGGGAGAGGATAGAGCGAGACGGGTAGAGTGTAGCTGGTTTGGTGAAGATTCGCGGGTAAAGCAGATTTTTCGCGCACGGGAACTATAGATGGCAATCCTACCGGCTCTGAGTCGCGTTGCCGATGCGAGGCGAGTAGGATTTAGTATGGCCCGCCTCTGTCATGTGGTGAAGACATTTACGCCTACATGTGCACATTTGCGACCACCATCTTCGATTTAGCATAAGCTCTCCAAATTGACGGAGAAAGCCTATTCACTATTGTGGAAGGTGATTTCCAACAAATCGGCAAACCATTCATGTCGACCAGGGTCAATTCAGCCGGCACACGAGCTGCGAGACATTGTACATTCTGACTGCATGTCCGCGCACATCCCTTCGAGAACGCGTGGAGTCGCAGACGTGTCGTGCCGCTTCGGGCATTGCGCGTGTGTTGAATTTTTCGCAAAGTGAAACAGCATTCCGGGCGATACGATCGGACTCACCGGACACCGACCAAAGCTATCCATAGATACCTTCATTTCGGAGAGGACAACCCCAACAGTAACGTCTTGACGATGCTCCGGATTATCAATCTTATCTGATTCCTGGACGGGTGGCGTGACGCTCCAGCGACCCCGGCTCAGTTCCCGCGCGGGGCAAGCTCACCGACCCAAGCTCTTGGAGTCTTGGCCCTCCGACCACTCACCATCCACCAATCTTCTCTTACAACATACTCCGCCTTCTTTCTGTCAGTCGCACGAGACACAAAGCCGCAGCGGACCACACGTCGACCATGACGACCATAGCTCCCGGCCTTACGCCCGAGCAGCTTCAGTTCTTCAACGACAATGGCTACCTGCTCATACCTAACGCTCTGTCGGGCGAGACGATTACAGAGCTGCTGGTTGAGTCGCATATGATGCTCGATGAATTCTCGCTCGACGACCACCCCATGACCAAGTTCTCGACCGGCGAAGGCGAGAAAGAGCACGTCGGTGACGATTATTTCCTCAACAGCGGTGACAAGATACGCTTCTTTTTCGAAGAAGGTCGGGATTACCCTCGGGACCGCCACTGCGCAAAGCTGACGTCGCGCCCGCGCGAACAGATGCCTTCGATCAGACCGGCCGCTTGACCAAGCCGAAGGAGCGGGCGATCAACAAAATCGGCCACTACCTCCACCAGCTGTCGCCTCCGTTCCGCGATGTCTCGCTGTCCGACCAGAATGCGGCCATCGCCTGCTCGCTGGGCTTTCGCGACCCCCGCGTACTGCAATCGATGATCATTTGCAAGCAGCCCGAGATCGGAGGACGGGTGCCACCGCATCAGGACAGTCCGTTTCTATATACGAATCCCCCCAGCGCCGTGGGCTTTTGGTACGCGCTCGAGAATTGTACGGTGAGTAACGGGTGTCTGAGCTTTGCGGCGGGTACGCACAAGACAACGCCTGTCAGTAAGCGCTTCGTGCGGCTGAAGGAAGCGGGCAAAGGCGCGGCGGGCACGGGGTTCATCGATAACGAGGGTGCGCAATTTCCGGTCGATGTCGAGCCTCAGCAGCCGACTAGTGGCGAGCCCGAGTACACTCTGGGTGAGGTCAAGGCCGGGACGCTGGTGCTGATCCATGGCAACGTGCTGCACAAGAGCGAGAAGAACCTGAGCGGCAAGAGCAGGTTCATCTACACATTCCACGTCATCGAGGGCGAGAAAGAGTACGACGGACTCAACTGGCTGCAGCCACCGACAGAAGGATTCTCGCGGCTGGTGGAGAGTAGAGAGTGACGGGCAGTAGTAACTATGAGTACCTAGTCGGGGGTGGGCTGATAGAGCGGGTCCTACGTACGCAAAGGCACGAAAGGATCCAAGGGAAGGCAAGCCACATGCAACGCTGCCCATGCCAGGATCAGATTAGATTCGGCGATAATCTTGATATCAGGCTATAGAGCCGGCGACGCCGAGGGTCGTTTTTCGCGCGAGACGGCGCTGATTGGGGCTCGGGAGGGCGATCAGGCGCTGGTGTCGGCCGGGCTCGCTTGGGCTGGCGGCGAGCCCACTAATCTCATCTAATCAGATGTCGCGGCTTCCGCAAACACGTCCATGGATCGGCTTCGAGGCCTGAAAATTGGGGTCTGCATGTCGCAGCGAGAAAAATTGCTTTTGCCAGGCCCGGCAAAGTAGATAAGCTTCCCGCCGCCTGCCTTCCCCGTTGCTCCCCGTTGCTTCCCGTCACTCCCAAGTCTCCACCTACTCGTCACAGCTATGGGTGTCCTCGACCTCGTCAAAGGCCGCAATGACGGCCGAAATGCCCGCGGCATCGCCAACCCGGAGATCAAAGACGAGCCCGGCGTCTCGGTGGAGCCCGCAGGTAGCTCGGTTCCCCCCAGTCTCGAGGCTCGTGAAGAGAAAGAGATTGAATCTCATCCCGACGTCGTCTCGAGCAATGCCCAGGAGGGTCTGCAGAAGGTTGAGGCGGCCGCGCTCGTCTGGAGCAAGACAGCCGTCTACCTCATCTACGCCTGGTAAACTTTCACTCCTTCCCCATCCGTCTACGCCGCACACTAACCCTTTTAGGATCTGGGTCGGCTTCTTCATGCTCGCCTTCCATTCGGCCATTGGTAACAACATTCTCAACTTTGCTTATGGCAAGTTTGCGTCGGCGCCGCAGATCAACACGGCCTACATCCTGGCTACCATCATCGGCGGTGTCCTCAAGCTGCCCATCGCAAAGATGCTTAACATTTGGGGTCGTGCCGAGGGTCTCTTTGTCTTCCTCATCGTTTACCTCCTCGGAATCATTGTCATCGCTTCGTGCAACGGCCCCAACGGCTACGCTGCTGGCTACACCCTCTACTGGATTGGTTACGATGCCATCTACCTGATCCTCGACGTCTTCATGGCCGACACGTCGGGTTTGCGCAACAGAGCTTTCGCCTTCGGTTTCGCCAGCACACCCTTCATCTGCACCGCCTTCACCGGATCGCTGGCCGCCGAGTCCCTGCTTAGCCATGCGTCTTGGCGCTGGGCTTATGGTTGTTTTGCCATTATTCAACCCTTTGTCTTCATGCCTCTCGTCATCGTCTTCAAGTTCTACCAGATCAAGGCCACGAAGATGGGCATTTTGAAAAAGGAGCCCAGTGGTCGCACTATTATGCAGTCCATCATTCACTACGTTCACGAGTTTGACAGTAAGTCCCGACGTCTCGTGTACCAAACTCGTCCAGAAGCTGACAAATCTCAGTCGTTGGTGCCTTCCTTCTCATGGCCGCTTTCATTCTGTTCCTGCTGCCGTTCAGCTTGGAGCAGTATGGCCGCGCCCAGTACCATGACGCCACCTTCATCGCCATGGTCGTCATCGGTGTTTGTCTCTTCTTTGTCTTCGCGGCGTGGGAGAAGTACGGTACGCGCGTCCACTTCATTCGGTGGGAACTGTTCAAGCAGCGTACGGTTCTGGGCGCATGCGCCATGTCGGCCATTGCCTACTTCAGCTTCTACTCGTGGGACTCGCAGTTCTACAACTTCGTGACGGTTGTCTACAACCTCAACGTCTCGATGGCTGGCTACATGACGCAGATTTACAACGTCGGCTCGTGCTTCTGGTCCGTCGTCTTTGGTGTGTGGGTGCGTTACACCAAACACTTCAAGTACACTTGCCTGTTCTTTGGACTGCCGCTGCTCATGCTGGGTGCTGGTCTGATGATCCATTTCCGCGGTTCCGACAGTGACATTGGCTACATCGTCATGTGCCAGATCTTCATTGCTTTCGGCGGTGGCACTCTTGTTATTGGTGAGGACATGGCTGTCATGGCTGCCGCCGACCACGACGGCGTCCCCATGATGCTTTCTTTGCTGGGTCTGTCTTCCAGCGTTGGCGGCGCCATTGGTTCTGCTGTTTCCGCTGCAATCTACGCAAACACGTTCCCCGACGCGCTGCGGCGCAAATTGCCCGCGGCCAACCAGAACGATTGGTCCGCCATCTACCTCGGTGGCTACTCCGCCCAGTTGGAGTACCCCGTCGGCAGCGATGTCCGTAACGCCATCAACTACGCCTGGGGCTGGAGTCAACGCTGCGGCTCCATTTCTGCAACGGCCATCCTGGTCCTGGGTATCCCAGCCATTGCCATCTGGAAGAACTACAACGTCGACCGCAAGCAGAACAAGGGTGTCGTCATGTAGACGGCTCCGCTGCACTCACCTCCCCCTCAAAAAAACATATACCATCTTTCTTACGTACATATGCACATACACGCAAAAACCTCTACATACCCACATCTAACGACCAACGACGCATACCGCGTAAACCTTAATGGACGACCCACGAGTCACGAGAAGGGAAAGAAGGCGCCGAGGCGTGCCGCGCAGGAGATACCACTAGATGCGCTGCAGCGCGGACGCGGCACATGGCACGGCATGGCATGGCGGCATATTTGTCGGATTTGTTTTTTCTGGTTCATCAACATCTACATAGCTATCTTTCTTGATCATTCTGTTGATCGTTGGCTTCGCTTGGACACCTGTATTAGATCCTCGGAAGCGTTAATTCATCTGTTTCTCCCTATCTGTTGTCTGTCTGTTTGTTGAGTCACTAAGTCACAGCTTCTCGTGTCGTTGCTGTCGCTGTTGCTATTGCTTGTGTAGACACTACGTGACTAAGTAGACAGGGAAGCCCCTGCCGCCGCGGCGCGCCACATGGTCCCATTGCGGCGTGGCGGCACGGTGCGCGGTGATGCGCGGGCTCCGATCCTTCCCGTCGGTCGGTGGGTGGATGGGTGGGCCTTGGGCCACGCCGCTACACTGCACACGCGTGCTCGCGGCTGTGGTTGGGACCGAGGAGTGCCGTGTCGGCGCTAGTATCGGGATCACTGGTTGGGGCTAGACTGGGCGTTGGGCTGCATGTATGCATGCATGCATGCATGCAGGTGTCACTTTTTGATGATTCCGGTTTTTTCTGGAGGGGTTTTGCAGGGGTATGGCGTGGTGTGCAGTCTTTTACCGGTATGTATGTTTGATATGTGTGGTGGCGGCTAAGCAAAGAAGTCGGAATGGAGGGTAAGACCTAGGAGGGTAAGACCTAGGTAGGTAAGACGGAGCGTTGCGCGCTGGAGTAGTAGCAGCAGCAGGACAGCAAGCACGCCATTCATTCTCTGCATTGGTTCACTGGACCCTACTGGCTAGATCCTATGCCTTTGCTGCAGACTCGAGACACGCATGTACGTAGGTGTAGGTGGAGGTGCGCGGTTGCCTCGTTTGCCTGCGTGCGGCTGACGCTGCCGCTAGGTAGGCACGCTTATGCGCGGCATGCATGAATGAAATGAAATGAAGGCGGGCTTGATGCCTGCGTGACTGATCTTCGTGGGGTTAGGTTGGTTGGCTGTTTGGTTTGTAGGTAGGTAGGTCAGGTGCCTGCTTGCCTGAAGGGGATCGGGGATGACTGCACGTCACTGACTGACTGGCCTCCATTGTATTGATCGACCTTGCTTGGACGACTGCTATTCGTGCCGTGATGTATAGCGCCTACATAGGTACTCACCTGTTTGTTTCGCGCGTACACATATATATTGTATACGTAAAGAGGTAGGCTTCTAGCTTTACTTTAATTGATCAACAAGGTCTCGTCCTTCTGCTCCGCCCCCACCTACCTAACTCTTACCTAGGTAAATGGCAACCCTTCATCTGATCCGCTCCGATCCGATCCCCCACTCCCTAATCTGCTCGATCTGATAACATCACAAACCGAGATCCCATCTACTCCGCGTCAGCCAAAATAACCTCCAACGCTTTCTCGCTCAACATGAACGTCGGCAAGACAGGGAAAGATCCCGGCTGCACAGGGAAAACAGAGCCATCAACCACGCGCAGGTTGTCGATGCCTATGACACGAAACCTCGAGTCCACAACAGCCCAAGGATTATTAGGATCTCCAATAGCACAAGTGCCAGTCGCATGATGCGAGTAAACCTGCGACTTTATGTACTCCTTCTGGTCCTCATCTGTACAGCCCACTCTTGTACACGGGTGCAGTTCCGTAAATGGTGCCAAGTTAGTTCTTATGTCGTCCAGGGCCGCTCTCGCGAGCTTGATACCTTCTAGCATTGCCTGAAGGTCCTCGTCCTCGCCCTTTTCAAAGAACCTGAGGTGGATGTCTGGAATGTCCCTTGGGTCGGCAGACCTCAACGTGACAGTCCCCGCTTGGCTCCGCGGTCTCATTTTAACGAACGAACATTCATACTGGTTTGGCCCGTAATCATTCGGGAGTCCAGGCCAGAATCCCTCCAGGATGAATTCGCCGCAGAAGCCATGAATGTCGCGGACGCGTTCGGATTGGCTTGACTTCAGAAAAACTTGAGCACTGGCGACGTCCCCTTCGATTTCGCGTGCGGCGAGTGCTACAAGGCCTCCTTCGTAGTTGTCTCCCACATTTGTACCGACACCGGGAAGGTCCTTGACTAGAGGAATTTGGAAATTGGCTAGTTCCTTGGCCGGTCCGATACCACTGAGCTTGAGGATCTGCGGACTATTGAAGACACCACCAGATATAATAACCTCGCGTCTTGCATAGGCCTGTCGCTTAACGCCTCGTTGGTTTGCATTGTAGCGTGGATCAGCTTTGTACAGACTTTGGCCTTGTAGGTATTCAACACCGATAGCAGTCGGCACACTATTTTCTGGTCTTTTATTCTCGTCATCAAACAAGATCTTCGTTACCAGACTGTTCAGTTGAAGAGTCAGTGGGTAGTTACTTGCGTCTGCTAATGTAGCATGGATATAGTTGTTCGGATTGTCCCTGTGGCCTTGTTGATCTGCGTGCAATACGCCACCGAATATTCCAGTCTTGAAATCTCTTTGTGGATCCAGAGCGTTCGGATCCCTCTGTATGTATTGCAACGCCTGGCTGGGATCCCCACCAGTGACTCGTACCAAGCTTTCTGCGATTATCGTTCCATCTGATACTCCTGTCTGATTCCCCGAGCTTCCGCGCCTCATCGTCGTGTTTAGCCATCCGTCGAACCCATGTCCAGGAGTGCCGCGGGGCAAATAAAGGTTCCTCTCTAGACGCACCAAGTATTTGCGCATGTTCTCGGCGGTCCAGGACTCGTCTCCGGTCGAATCCGCGATAAAATTCCAATCTTCATCGTTTGGCAGTATCGAAGATGCCGCATTGTGCATCGCGCATCCTCCCAGAGTGCCCGCGCGAGGATACCAGATTCCGAGTCTCTCATAGCCAGTGGAATTGACAGGAGGATGCTGGCCTACATAGTATGATCCATCAGGCGCTTGCCATACTTGATGAAGGTACTTGGCCTCCTCTTCCGGGTCATCGTAGTGCGACACCCAGAAGTTCCAGTGTGTGCTTGGATCGTTTATGGCTTTGTTAATGTTGGCCACAAGAGTTACATTTGGATTCGTGCCTTCGTCCGATCCGGCTTCCAGGAGTAGGACCGAGTGCCCAGCCCTTGCTAGGTTTGCTGAAAGTGGTCCGCCGCCTGGGCCGGAACCAACAACGATGTAGTCATACGTATCTTCCGATTCGAAGGAGTCGGAGTCTGAGCCCCAGGATGCGGGGTCGGAGTCGGAGCCAGAGCTCCGAGAAAGGGGAACAAAGTAAGCAAGGGAGAGATGAGCAAGGATGCTCAAGGTTGAAACAAGTTTCATCGTTGCGGAAGCCTTGCAACCACGAAAGTACCTCTCAGTCTGTTGTTGCTTGAAGCTGACTGGAGTTTGGTGGATATCATGTCTCGGGCGCGAGATGCATTTTATCTTGGCTTCGGATATTCTGTCTACTCTTAACCGAAGACAAGGTTTCTCTGTGTTACGGACGGTTAGCTGCATGCAGTCTAGCAAGCTGAATTCATGGCGCTCTAGCTTGTGTAATTTTTATTAAAGAGTGCCGTTCTTCCTACTAACATGTTCCGTGTAAGTGAAAGCCTATAAGTTTGACGCCATGTACAGATGACGCGCGAGAGCGCACGTGTTGGGCGATGAATAGACAGCCGAATATATCTAGGCTTCAATCATGATGGACGAACATTGTGACGTCTATTTAATATTGTTTTGAACGATTTCGTGATATATTGCACATAAGTGCGGGGTTTAAGCGTACACTTATGTGCGCCCACTAGGCTCTAGCTGCGCGAAGATCGCTTTACGAGAGAAGCAACACCGGTGAATTCAAACTCAAAATCCACTCGAATGATTTTCCGTAAGAAGCTCATAGATATCGATCTGGCTGTTGCAACGTATTCTCTCCATACTTTCCAGTCGACAGCGGAAACGGCCATATCTCCGGATTCTCTCCGCTTTCCGGACCCAGGAACGGTCAGACCTCCGGATTCTCCCCCGCATTTTCCGGTCCTCAAGTTGTTTAGGCCCTTAAGCTAACTCTTAGGTAGCTTTTCTTAAAGGCAACGTGCAAGGTGACGCGTCACCATCATGGCGTTGCGGACCGACACATTTCAACCTTTCATTACGTTTATGCTCCGGGTCGGAATGCAGCGGGGTCGACATGCACCGCAAGACTAAGTGATTAACAAAACCCTCAGCGCCATTGTAGCAAAACTCGGCTGTGCAACTTAACGTCGTGGCTAGATTGGCCTCATTATTCTATTATTTGTCAAGCTGTTAACTATTTTAGTTGTTGTTTGCGCATTCGAGTGTTGTTAAAGAATAGATTAAACAAAGAGTTCATTAACAAAAGAAAGGTCCAAGCTGCGAAGATAAGGCAGCTAGATAGAGTAAACCTACTAGCATTACGGGCTGCTAATACCCCTAATAGGTCTATACAAGAAACAAAAAATATTTTAACAAACAAGAATTCCTATAAACAGCTAACGTCCGTCACCACAAACTAAGATCTAACCTTACCGTCTAGCAAGACCGGGAATGATAAAAGCAGTCCCTACAGAGTACTCCTTGCCTAGCTCTTAGCCTAGGTCCCGGGTATAGGTGGAAAAGTCTTAGAGTATACACGGACTCTACATATCTTGACTAGGTCTCTTCTTCTACTCTATATAAGTAATACTATTACGCTTCACGACGACGAACGTTAAAACCTCCACGACATTTAAGTTTCTATACTTATTTAGACGACAGCCATATATAAAGCAATCAAATTCTAACATCTTAATACGATTTACGCTACTAGGTGTTACGTCCTCTGACGTTCAGTGTCACATGAATACATTGTCGAAACTCAAAGCCATGGAATAAAGCAAATCCACACTAACGTATTATTCTCGTAGCGCGAGTGGCCGTTACAAGCTATAGCTAAGAGCAGGAGGATTTATTCCGAGAGATATTATTGGAACCCCCGCTCCGATCGCCAGGCTAAACGCGCTAAGCGATGCGGGGATGCCGTTTTTGATAAACAGCTCAATCTAGACCAATTACGTCTATCGGGGAGGAGAAGCGGAGTGCAAACCCGAGCCCGATGAAGATGAACTTCGAAAAGCCGCAGCCTGAAGGATCAAGGAACATGTTCGTTAAAGATGTGGCACCAAAAAGCAGTGCGGCGTAGACCCTTAATCTCCAGTCGTGCTATAATTCGATCAACCAATGAGAACTAAAGGAAAGTCACTTCAGATGAACGAACGCCACAGCTGAGAAAAGACAATCCCCAAAGGATAGCAAAGATCTGCGAATGAATCAAAGGGGTCGGAGGAACAGCCGTCAGTTCCGAGCTGATCGATCTGGCCAAGTTAGCGCATGTTTTCCGACGCCAAAGGGGTCGGAAGACAAGTGACCATGGGCTGGGTTCAGCAAATACACAGCAACGGATGCAGCGAGCAAAATTCGGAAACATGACGAGCATTTCCAAGGGTGCGGGGTACATTGTCATTATAAAAAAGTGCCCGGATTTGATCTCTTAATCGAAGTGACAGTTGACAGAGAAGGCCACAAGAAAGAACCAAGAACCTCAAAACCAACTCACCAGCCAGTCCTCACGATGAAGCCCATCTCCATCACCGTCGCGGTGCTCATCCCCTTCCTTACCGGCGCCAACGCCGCCCGCGGCTGCGGTGCCTTCGAGAACGAGGAACCCTTCTCCTGCCGCTCCGGCCCGAACTACAACCGCGACAGCTGGGGCTTCAAGGAATACAGCCACATTCCCCGTCACTGGTAAGCATGCCCCTGTGGCTTTTCTGTGTAGTCGAGCGGTGCAAGACAACTAATGCCGAGTCAGTGGTTGGGACTACGACTGCTACCGCAGGAATTTCATGGGCTACAACAACTACATGCCACGCGATATGCCGCGTGATTGGCATCATGATATGCCCCGCGATATGCCGCGCGAGTGGTCGCGCGAGATGCCACGCGATATGCCCTACGAGGAGCGCCACCATGAGTGTAGGTCGCGGCGAGCGTATTTATTACCATCTCGAAACTGACAGTCGTGCTAGACATGTATGGTGGACGCTGCCACCCCGATGACAGGAGTAAGTGATGGCCAATTCCCGAACAGCATTTACCTACTTGTTGCTAACGATGGCAGACTCTTTTGGCCGCTGCCAAACTGATGGAAGTGAGTAGTAACCCCCCGAGGTTTGTGAACTTTAATACCAACAGCAGTGCCAGACTTTCCCCGCTTCCAGAACCAGGCTTGAACTCAAGTCCTGACGTCTGCAGGCTGGAAACCGCATCGGTGCGAAAATACCGACGCTGGCAAGAAGAAGAAGAATGGGTATGAAGGGGATGCCCCGACCCGCGATACGGGGCGCCAGTCGATCCTTGCAAAAGTTTATAGCTTTTTTAATTACCGTAGGCATGGTTGACTCGTCCCTCTGCGGACATGCACATACAGTCCAAGTAATAATACCGAAATGTGACAGTGTATTGTTTAGTTCGTGCCCTCAAGCCATGTCCTCGGCGTAAAACCATTCCACCTCCTTACCCTGTTGGAGAATTACAAGAGAAAGACTCAACAGATCCACCCGTCGTATACTGTCGATGCATAGAGTGTATGCTCGAGTAAATGCCCAACACAGCCGTGACAATGGAGCCAAGGAAGTAAACCGTGTTGAAAGAATTAAGAAGCAACTGCTTCTTGAACCCACGAACCCAACGCTTGACGCCCGTATCAGAGCGGACAACCCTACCCGTGGTAGGGTCAAAGCCGTCGCCCTCAACGAGCGAGCCTTTCAAGCAGTTGAACCCCAGAGCCAGGAAGGCAGGGAACGTGTACGAGAACTGGAGGATCATTGCTGCGCCGACAAAGCTCGAAAGGTAAGAGACCTGCGGCACAGCGGCTGCAATGATAAATGCAAGGCCCCAGTACAGCGGAACGAATGCGACCCAGATCCATCTGCCGTTCCGTGTCTCAAGCGCAGGTAGGTGCAGAAGGGGGCGACCGATGTTGGCGTACAAGACTTTGATGCCGATATTGCCATAGAGACATGCAGCGATCAGTCCGCTGACGAGGGAGAAAGCGTTGGCCACGGTTTGCCAAGCATAGGGGTTGATGCCTTGGTATGCGGGGTTGAAGGCGAACTGCCCCTGTTCGCTGTAGACGACGAGACCAAAGACGATGTAGACAATGAAGATAAACACATTGGCTATAATCATGCCTTTCCAGAAGTCCCACCTTTTAAACAACGTTAGTACAGTGTCGGCTTATACGGGAATCCCAATAGACCTACGGTCTCCTCATCTCAGCCATCAGCTCGCAGAAAAGAGTCGCGCCGCCATATGAGTAAACAGCCTGCATTAGACCATTGATATTGTCTCGTAAATTGAGTCCGTCAGGAACCCCGGCGCTAGTCTTGATCGGCCCTTTCTCAATTCCGTATGATGCGTAAACGGCTTTGTAGTTTGGGGAGCTGTTGGACGTGATGCCCATACTAGAAACAGTATGGTCAGTATTCGATTGTAACAAGTACAGTATCCTCACTTTGCTTCCGCGCCTAAGGAGATATATAACATACGTCATGATAATTATGAACACGTTCATCCAGACAGCAAGATTAGCAACGTATCCTAAGTTCTGTAATGAGCGTATCTGGCCAAGGATGAAACCAGCAGCCGCGAATATAATCAAACAGGCAGTAACTGTTAACATTGATGAGCTCAACCACTTAAGACCTCGGCTTCACTGTGGTTCGACTTACAGCAAAGAGGCTTATCGTCGTCTGAAGGTTGGGAAAGCTGCGAAATGCTTTGGCCGTGGGAGACAATGAGAAGCGTGACATTGAGGAAGAACTGACAGCTCTGCAAGATGTTGACAATGTATCGAAACCAGCTCCCGTAGATTCGAAAGGCCAGATCACCGTAGTTCTTCACTGGGTATCTGTCCGAGTCGAGGTGAACGAACTGCTGCCAGAGCAAGTACCCGGAACTGGTACTATCAGCATCATCCTTCTCACGAAGTAACACAACACTTACTACGTTGCCATCACGGCAAAAATAAAGTAAAGGGTTATTCCTGGGCCGTATCCCAGTCGGGTGAAAGCCCACGGGACAGAATAAGGCCCTAGAATATCAGTGGTAATAAGGTAGAAAACAGAGCCTGCGTGGACTGTTAATGCTAGGAAGTTACAGGATAAAGGTAAGGTGCATATCCTTACCCCATGTTGCCGTCCGCGCAGCTCTCGAGGCTTGATGCCATTCCTCGTCGGAAACTACATCAAAAACACCTGCAGTTGCGTCTGGGCCGCCTGTTCCACCAGGGCGTGCTTGGCCTTCTTGTGTCTGCGTTGACTCTTCGGCTTTCGGTTTCTTGTCGCGGGAGAAAACTGTCCGAATTGAACTGAGACCGTGACCCTTTGTCGAAAGCGTCTTCTCATACTCCCTCGTCTCGTTGGCATAGTAGAGGTATTCTTCGAATGTAATATCTGGATTGTGCTGATATTCAACGCGCAAGGCCGAAGGTTCTGTTCGAATCTCGCGGTTGATGGTCTCGTCAACCTCCTTGCTCCTGCGCGGGTCTGCGAGTTCGCTTGCCGGAGCCAAGCTTGATGACATGGTGTAACAAGAGATAGCCAAGAGGTTTAGAGGTGCTGATGTGTTAGCTTAGGAGCAGATCATGGGTAGGGAGGCTAATTATGAACTGGAAACCCAGCCTCGGCCGCCGCCCATCCGTGTGTGGCCTTCCTAATGAGGGAAGTTCGTATCCAGGTTGCTGCGGCCTTATCGTGCTCATGCAGTATTTTGCCGCAGATCCGGGCATGGGCTTGCATAACGTAGAACAAGCGAGCGACTGGGGTAACTCGTGACCTAAACTCTGTCGATATTACTGAAGGGGGCATAGTTTAGCAGGGCCCAAGCCTGTACTGGCCAATCATGAGCACGGCGATCCCTTATCTGACCATCAATATGGAAGGATGCGTTCAATATAACGCTGTGCTTTCTTACCGCTGTCCTTTGCATGCTGACAGCATGTCATACGTCAATCCCCGTGTTCCCGAGGCTTTTAGGCGATTATTCTAAGGTCCGGACGTTCTCCTTGCCTTCGAATGGGGTGTGGAGATGGCGACTGCGTTTAGCGCTTACTTAGAAAACGAACCATGAATTGACGCAGATGCCACGGTGCGAAAGTGAGGTGGTACGGACAACTGTTAGACGATCGACCCAGTGACCTGGTCGACCCTAGTTCAGACCAATCACGTAAACTATTGCAGCAATCAGGCTATTGCACGTGGTACATAGCTGCAAGGCCCGTTCCGCGGGGTTCGGTGCAGTTACCTTATGAAGAATGCAGTCGCATGGAGTGCTGATGTTTGATTAGCCATATCTAGAGGCTGAATAGAATCTTAGTTGACTGAGGAGAGTAAGCTGAGAAGAGAACAGGGCGGTCGAGCCGATTTAATCCACCAGTATCAACAAACTGCTAAGGCAAGGTTTACACGAAGAGATAAGGGAGAATGCGATATTTGGAGTAGAAAATCAAGTGAGGCTGGATTGATTTGACGTAGTCTCGCGTGGGTGAAGGTGTCTGCGGATTTTTGAAAGTGAGGTGCCGGGAGTATGCGAATGCGAATTTGGTTCTGAAAGCCCGGAGTAGAAGTCCCGTAATGCGTAAGTTTTCCCATTACGTCTTCTTGGACGCCTTCGCATCCGCCTCTTCAATAGCCACCAGCTGCTTAACCTCTTCGTCCTTCATCCAATTTCTCACGCTCTCCATGACCTCCTCCAGGTTGTCGCCGCCCTCGATAACATTGTCCAAACCATGAATTGTCAAGCCCGACCGATGGTCCGTTACTCGCTGCTGTCCCCAATTGTACGTGCGGACCTTGTTCTCGCGGCCCATCTTAGCGACGCCAATGACGCTGCGGCGCATGCGCAAGGCCTCTTCTTCACGAGCCTCGCGCCGCGCCTGCGCTAGCCGCGACCGCAGCACCTGCCAGGCCTTATCGCGGTTGGCGCGCTGCGAACGGGAGTCCTGCATCGCGGCGACGGTGCCAGTCGGAACGTGCGTCAAGCGCACTGCCGACTCCGTCTTGTTGACGTGCTGGCCGCCCGCGCCGCTCGCGCGCATCACCTCGACGCGCACCTCCTTGGGATCAATGTAGTAGTCGCTATTGGGGTCGTCGAAGTCCTCGGACCCGGCCCCGCCCTCGCCCGGTAGGCTCGGTAGAACCAGCACCGACGCCGCGCTCGTGTGCGTTCGTCCCTTGCTCTCCGTCGCTGGCACGCGCTGCACCCGGTGCACGCCCGCCTCGCATCGGAACCGGCCATACGCGCCATCCTCTTCGATCTCAAGGATCGCTTCTTGCAGCGGCGAGTCAGAGCCTCGGGCGTCTGCCGTTCCCGCTGAGTCCTCGTACTTGACCAGCGTCGCTCGCAGCCCTTGTCGCGAGCAGTACGCCTGGTACATCCGCAGCAAATCGCCCGCGAACAGCGCCGCCTCAGACCCGCCGGCTCCTGGCCGGATTTCCAACATGCATGGTAGGTGTGCGAAAGGGTGCTTGGGCACCAGACTGGTCGTGAGCGACTGCGTCGCGCGCGACAGTTGTTCCGTCGTCTCCGTCATGTCTTCAGCGGCGAGGTCGCGGAGCTCCTTGTCGGCCGACGAGTCTTGCAGCAAGTTTCTGAGCTCCGTTAGAGCCTGCGAACAAATTGGCGTTAGATGGGCAAGGGCAAGCGCGCGGGAGGAGAACGTCTGCCCACCTCATCTGCCTTCTCCCATTCCTTCAGCGCGGCGGCAATTGGCGCGATTTCGCCGGCCTTCTTGGCCGTCTTCTGGTCAAAGCCATCGAGCAGCTTCGTCGACAATTGCGAATGCTCGGCGGCGAGCGAGCGGGCGCGGGTAAGAACGGCGGGGGAGATGGCGTCGGCGCCTGTAGCCTGGGTGGTCTGGCGGCGGAGGAATTGCCTACTAAGAGGCGCCTGGGAGCGGAGGAGGCATCTTCGACACACCCAGCCGACGGTGTTCATGGTGAATGGCGCAATCGAGCTGCGCGGGATGAGAGTCGCGGAAGGTTAAAAGTGACGTGCACAGCCGGGGATCAGCCGATGGCATGTCGCTGGGCCCTTCCCGCCGCCATGACGTTGGAGCTCTCGTGCTTCCCAGAGCCTCACGGCGACTTCAAGACTTGCTTCACGTGTCCCTCTGACTGTTGATGTCGACATCATCTCCGATCAGCCGCCGTCGAGCCGAGGCTGAGACCGGCAAAATGATGCCGCAATCGTCGTCGCCATAACGTAACTGCCGTCCGCCATCCCCGCAAATCGGAGATAGGAAATAGTCCCGCTACCCAGGTACGTGCTGCTACCTACCCCTCATATCTTCTTTCTCTGCACTCTACTTCACTTCAAAGCGTGCCGTCGCGTAGACCGAATTGCGGTCAGTGTAGTCATCATGCCTCTTAACGCCAATGCCATATACCCCGCCACAGACCCCGAATTCGTCGCTTTCCCCAGCCGGCGGAGTACCGTCCACAGCACCAAGGGCATTGTCGCCTCGACCCAACCTCTTGCTACCCAAGCCGGTATCAGAACCCTGAGAGATGGCGGAAACGCTGCCGTAAGTTTTTGGAATAGTAGGCCCGTAGCCGCATCAATGGCTTGGTCTGATAAACAGTAGGATGCTGCTGTTGCTGTGGCAGCCGCCCTCAATATGACTGAACCGGGCTCAACTGGCATTGGAGGGGACTGCTTCTGCCTTTTCTACGATGCGAAGACGAAGAAGGTGCACGCCATGAACGGCTCAGGGCGTTCTGGTGCGAACGTGACTCTGGAGACGATCCGAAAGGACCTCGGCATTCCAGAGGGCGAGTCTGGGAGCATTCCCATGAGTAGCGTGCATGCTGTCACTGTTCCCGGTGCTGCAGCAGGCTGGGTCGATGCGGTAGAGAGGTTTGGCAGCGGGAAGCTATCCTTGGAACAGATCCTCACGCCGGCCATTGAACTGGGTGAGCAGGGATTCCCTGTATCCGAGCTGTCCTCCACATTTGTGAGTTGCATGATTCTGCGTGTATCATCGAGATGGTCTGTTAATAGCGAAATAGTGGCATACAAGCGAAAGCGCGATCCGCAAGGCATCTCCCAACTTTGCCGAGATGTTAAAAAAAGATCCAAATGCGCCAAATTGTTACCGGGCACCCAAACCCGGCGAGATCTTCAAGAACCCGACTTTGGCTAACACTTTCCGGCTGCTTGGCAAGCATGGGAAAAAGGGGTTCTACGAGGGCCCTGTGGCTGAAGCGCTGATCAAGGTCGTGCAAGACCTGGGCGGACGTCTGACGCTGGATGATTTGAAGAAGCACGCTGAGCTTGGCAGTGAGCCGGTTGATGCCATTTCACTGAAATTTAACGGCCAAAATGTTGGCAAGAAGCATAGTGTCCACATGAACGACAATGCGGATCAGGGTGTGGAGGTTTGGGAGCATCCGCCAAACGGCCAGGGAATTGTGGCTCTGATGGCTCTGGGCATGCTGGAAGAATTGGAGAAAGCGGGCAAGATTCCTGCCTTCAAAACAGGGGACCACAATTCTGCCGAGCATTTGCACGCTGTCGTCGAGGTCCTGCGGATTGCCTTTGCCGACGCCAACTGGTGGATTACTGACCCGAACGTCGAGAAGGTGCCGACTCAGGAGCTCATCTCTCAAAAATACCTGGCCGAGCGCGCGAAACTCTTCGATCCGAACAAAGCTTCGGACGTTTTGCACCACGGGTCCCCGGCGCATAACCACAGCGACACCGTCTACTTTTGCTGCACAGACTCGGAAGGTAACGGTATATCGTTCATCAACAGCAACTACGGTGGCTACGGCACCGCCATCATCCCCAAGGATTGCGGCTTCACGCTGCAGAACCGTGGGGCGAACTTTGTGCTCATCGAGGGACACCCGAACGTGCTGGCGCCGAGCAAGCGGCCCTATCACACGATCATCCCGGCCATGATCACGAACCCGAGTGATGGCAGCCTGCATACGGTGTACGGTGTCATGGGCGGTTTCATGCAGCCGCAGGGCCACGTGCAAGTGCTGCTCAACATGCTGGCCTTTGACCTCACGCCGCAGGCGGCCTTGGACGCGCCGCGCGTGTGCATTGGGGCAGGCATGCCGGATCAGAGCAACAAGCAAAAGGTGGTGGACCGTACGGTGTACCTAGAGGAGGGCATCAAGCAGTCGGTGGCGGACAAGCTGGCGGCCATGGGCCACAAGGTTCGGATGGTGAGTGGACACTCACGGGGGCTGTTTGGACGCGGGCAAGTGATCCGGAGCCACGTGGAGGAGGGGCAGGTGGTTTATAGCGCAGGCAGCGATCCGCGGGGGGATGGGGCAGCGATGCCTTTGTAGGGTACTACGTAGATCGTCACAATGGGAAGTCACGTCCACCTGTCGGGGTTAAGACTGGACCGAGGATCTGCCGGGCCGACAGGCTTTTGTGATCTGCTTCGTCTCCATCACTGTCCATCCAGCATCTTCGCCCTGCTGAGCACCGCCCACCCCGGCATCTTTGACATTCAACCAGCCCGGGCCCATCGCCCCTCTCTCACCATCCTTCCAGAGCGAGCCCGACCCTCTTTACGCTATTTTGTAAGTCCCGCGCCACCCTCGGTATTACTCATCCTTTCGTGAGGGGCATGCTGCTGACCTTGTTGTTTACCTGGCAGGAGCTCTCTTTACACCAACAAAGCTCTCAACATGGACTCGATGCGCAGCCTCAACACTTCCCTGCCCTCGGCCACGTCGCGCAGGCGACCGGGCCAAACCAACGCTGCTCTGCTGCAGGCCTTCAAGACGGCCGCCCTCCAAGTCACCAACCTGTACAAAGCCGCCGCCTCCGACCGCGAAGCCACCCACGACGAGGGCTATCAGGCATGCCTCGAGGACATGCTGAGCTTCCTCGACGCCGAGAACCTGGGCGTCGGCGACGGTGAGGGCTGGAGGATACGCCAGTGGGTCACCGAGAAGCTCCAAGAAGGAACCACGGCCACGGACAGCGACGAAGAAGGCGACGATGACAAGCGCGGGAGGAGCTCCAGCCCTGCTGCGCAAAGGCGGCCCAGCCCGGAGGCAGTGGCGTCGCCAGCGGTACAGGCGTTGCGATCTGCCTCGCCTGCCAGAGCAGACTCGGCCCCCCCTGCCCCTGTAGCAACCGTGCCTGCGGCTGCACCATCTCTCGAAGCATTGGACGCCCTGCCAAAGGGTGACTTCACATTCCGCGCGCCACAGACGTTGGACCTCGATATGGACGAGACGGAGCAGGCCGACTCGAACGCCGCGACCAACGCCGGATCGCCGCCCATGCAGATCAACGTTTTTCCAAGACACCGCACCAATCGCAACAGCAGCAACAACACGCACGCCCGTACCACCCACAACAGAGACAGACAGGCGGCGGCGGCGGTCGCGTCGCTTGGCAGCTTGGGATCCGGCGCCGGCGTGAAGCGGCGCGTGCCGTTCGGCGACTATTTTGATATCAACGGATTCGGCAACGGCAAGGACGTCTTCGGAGGACACGGATCGAAGCGCGGACGGTTCACATAAGAGGAGGATGCAGGCTCGAGGTTTCTGCGCCCCAGAGCACAGCCGGCTCCGGGCGATTCGGCCCGCCACGGCTGCTGGCACCACGCATTGGACGGAGTTACAAACGGATGGGATCATTTTCACATTGGAGGCATTCATTTAGAAGCATTCTCAGGGTGTTTTCTGGGTTTGAGTGCTGGATAGAAGGGGACGGAAACGGAAGGAATCGGTCGGTCCACCAGGACTACTACTACTGCAACTATTCGGGATTTGCATTCCAAGGAGGAGAGAGATTCACATAGCTAGGTATGATGAGTGGATCAGGAGGACGTGCATACCCTGGCTACTTGAGCTCTTTCTCTTTTCCTTTTTTTACCCGGCGCGTTTCCTTGTTTTCGCTTTTTTTTCTTGCTTTAAAGCCGGAGCCCGGATTTTTTCTCCGCGGGTAGTTTCGCGGTTTTTTTGAGGGCTGAGATGGGACCCTCCTCGTCCGGAAGAGGAAGGAGGGATAATGACTTGATGGAACCTGCATCTTTCTTTTTGGTTTCTTTTTCTCGATTTTTGATTATACCCGATATCGACACAATACTTTTTACTTTTCAAAGCGGCAGAGAGAGAGAGAGAGAGAGAGAGAGATAGGGAGCTGTTTACCGTAGCTTGGCTTGGCTTAACTTAGTGACGATGCTAGCGGGGTGTGGTTTGAGGTGGTGGTGGCGGCTTCGTGGATACAGATAGGTGTGGAAGCAGCCGGGTCGCATCCATGTCGAGAAGGAGGGCGAGATGCTCAGGCGTGCGCGTGGGTAGAAAGAGGTGGGCGTGTGGTTGGGGCCGAGCATTATGTACCGTATCCAAAGGCTACTTAGGTAGCAGCGTCTTCTCGGCATGAGTGTGGAAGTGCCTTTGTGCCGCTTGCAGCAGGCTTGGCTTGTAGCTGGGTACGAAATGTGTCCACGGCGAGACGCTGCCGCATTGGAGTGGACATTCGTACCCCCCGTTCTCTGCTTCGAGGACTATGAATGAGAAGAGAGCGCTCCATAAGACGAAAACAGACATGGGCCGAGGTGGCCAGGCGGGCAGGCAGGCAGGCAGGCAGTCTCACCGCGCAGGACAGCACTCCTGCTCAGCGCAGCCCCCAATGCGAGCCCAGCCCATGCCCAAACTTTTATGCAGCCCCATGAACGCCGCCCAGATGCACCATTGCAAGAAGAATATCGTACACACCCACGAACCCACCCGCTCACACCATCTCCCCACCACGCACCATCAAGCAATGGGCGCAACAATCCCCAGCTCACGCAACGAAGCGATACACGCCCATACCGACCAGCACGGCCGACAGGCCCGTGATGCTGGCCTTGCGCGCCCGGAGCCCGAACAGCGTCTTGCTGGCCTGGAGAGCGGCGTGCTGTTGGCGCAGCTGGTGGTGGCCGGAGACGTAGGAGTAGACGCCGAGGCCGATGAACGCGGTTGCGCCTGGAGGGAGGGAGAAGGAGTTAGCTGGCTAGCTAGGTGTGGAAGGAAGGAGGAAGACGCGTGTGTGTGTGTACCCATGGTCCGACACGGCAGGCAGTCGTCAAAGTCGCGCTGCTCGCGCTGCAGCATCTTGTCGAGCGGGGGCGCTTGGTCCGAGGGCAGGCGGCGCTGCGCTTCGGCGGCGAGGTCGGCGTCTTGGCTGGCCATTGCGGGGGAGGAGGAGGAGGGAAAGTGGTGGTGAAGGTAGAGGGGAAAAGTCGCGGCGGCGGGCGGCGGAGGTAAAATCGGGCGCGAGTCAGGCGATGGGATCGGCGTCATATCATTCCCGCTCGTTCGCCGCCAAACCACCAGAGTACCTCACTCACTCACTCACTCACTCAACAATTGATTCTCTCTGCGGCGCATGGGGCTGCCCGAGCACCACAGCAGCAGTCATGAGCGCCGTCGAAGCGCTGTACATCTTCGATGAGCACAAGTGAGTGGTTGAATGCATCACGACGGGCCAATGCTGACCTCGCCCGTCTCGCCCAGCAACCTCATCCTCGAGCACGTCTACTGCGCGCGCCCGCCCGCCGCGCCCGTCCTGCTGCCGCTCTACCTAGCACACCCGGCGCCGCGCCCGTCGCTCATGTATCTGCCGTCGACAAACCCGCCCACGCTCGTGCACAACATGATCCAGGACCGGCTGCTGTTCCTGGCGCCGTCGAGCGCCGACACGGAGCCGCTGCTGGTGCTCGAGTTCCTGCACCGCGTGGCCGACGCCATCGAGGACTTTCTCGGCAGCCCGCTGCTGGCGGCCAAGATCGAGACGAGCTACGACGTCGTGGCCCAGCTGCTCGGCGAAATGTGCGACGCCGGCCTCGTGGCCACGACCGAGCCCAACGCCCTGCGCGACGTCGTCGACGCCCCCAGCTTCATGAAGAACCTCCTCGGCGGCGTGGGGCTGCCCAGCTCTTCGCCCTCGCTGAGCCCGACAAATACACCCTTCTCCCTCCAGCGGCCTGCGCTTAAACCCTCCCTCACCCCGCCCGGCTCCTCGCCTTCCTCTGCCATCCCCTGGCGCCGCGCCAATGTCCGCCATACCAGCAACGAGATGTACGTCGACGTCGTCGAGACGCTGAACGTGACGCTCACACCCAGCGGGAGGCCGCTCGTCGCCCTCGCCAACGGCAGCATAGCCTTCACGTCGAAAGTGTCGGGCGTGCCGGACCTGATACTACGGCTAGACGCGCCCGGCGGCATCGCCAACATCGTGTCGCTGCCCGTGTTCCACCCGTGCGTGCGGCTGGCGCGGTGGCGCGACCGCCCCGGCGAGCTCAGCTTCATCCCGCCCGACGGCCGCTTCGTGCTGCTGGGCTACGAGGTCGACCTGCTGGGCGACGACTACCTGCTGCGGCCGGAGAACCTCAAGCCGGGTCACGGAAGCGGCAGCAGCCAGGGCGCGAAGCTCAACCTCCCGGCCACGGTCGAAGTGAAGACGAGTCTGGGGCCCACGGGCGCGGACTTCGAGGTGCGGCTGGCGCTGTCGTCGCGCTTCCGCAGCGGCGGCGCCGCGGCTGCCGCGTCTTCTACGTCTGCGTCCTCGGCCGCGGCCGCCAGCCTCAGCAGCATAAGCAGCGCGGCGGGGACTGGACGGCCCGGCGGCCCTGGCCGCAGCCCCTCCGGCTTCGGCGCGCATGCGGGGTCCTCGGCCGCGCCGCAGCTGTCGGACGTGGTGGTGCGGGTGCCGCTGCCGGCGGCGGTGCGCAACGTGGGGGACCTGCGGGCGTCGCGCGGCGAGGTGACGTACGCGCCGGGAGAAGCGGCGCTGGAGTGGCGGGTTGGGGCCAAGGACGCGGCGGCGCTGATGCAGCTGGGGATGGGGGCGGTGGCGACGCTGCGGGGGAGCGTCGTTGGCGGCAGTGGAGGGGAAGAAGACGACGAGGACGACGAGGGCGGCGGCGTGCTGGGTGAGGGGCTGGGCAACCGGTACGAGTACGACGACGACGGGGACGGCGCGGGCAGCGGATACCAGTCTGCTGCGGGGCTGGGGAGCGGCGCGCCGCCGCTGAGCAGCAAGACGAACAGCGGGGGGGACGCAGAGCTAGAGGCGCGGCTGGAGCGGCGCAAGCGCGCGAACCGGCTGCTGATGCCGGCGAGCGCGGCGCTGAGTTTCCAGGTCAAGGGGTGGTTGGCGAGCGGGGTGCGGGTGGAGAGCTTGAACGTCGACACCAAGATGAGTCGCGGGCTGGGGGCCGGGGTGACGCCTTATAAGGGGGTCAAGTACTTGACGGGAAGTCGGGAGGGGGTCGAGGTGAGGTGTTAGGATTGTTTGTGTGTGTGCATGGCCTTCCTTGGTGGCGTGGGTAGGTATTGATTGATGCTTGATGTTCATCATGTTTGATGTTTTGGTATGGTGGTTTGGTGGTGGTGGTTTGACGCGGTGCATGATGGATTGATGGATGGATGGGTGGACGATGGTAGAGCAGGCTGTGGAGGGAACGGTACATAGGAGGTATAACCAAATAGACAGAGACGCAGCAGCGGAAGGGCTCATGAATTGATTGACTGTATGTATGATGATGGGAGGCCAACCAATCAGGAGCAAGCAATTTGACATCATACGCACAAGCACCTACCTATACATACAAACCATCACGCATAGGACCTAAGGTAGGTAGACATCAAAGCATTGGGCGCGCACACGAGCAGCAATTGCGCTTTCTAGGCCATTGGGCGCCAGAGACGTGAGAACGGGCACGGGCACGGGCAAAGCGCGGGTGAGCAGGAAGCGGTAGGTAAGTGTCAGTAAGCAGGCCTCTCACGCACGCAGTCAATTCCAGCAGGGACGTAGGCAGAGTGTATACACTAGCATTGCTTGCACGCGCTTGCTCGCCGCACCCCCCAAACTCAAGCTCAGCCTCAGCCTCAGCCTCAGCCTCAGCCTCAGACGAAGTCGGTGTATGGAGTACGGAAATACCGAGGTAGGAAAGTATATCTACAAGCGAGCAAACCGGCTCCTTCAGCCCAAACCGAAGCCAGGCATTGTCGTCGCGTGCGCGCGCAAAGAGGCGATCCGAGAGCCCGGAAGAAGAAGCGCATTTGGTCCGGGGAGAAAGCAGGTGCGTGTGCGCAAGGCGTGTGTGTGGGGGCAGAAGGACGCAGCAGAGTTACTGCCCCAGCGCCTTGGCGCGCTCGTCCTCCAGGCGCGTGTAGAAGGCGTCGCGGTGCTTGACCGTGGGCACGTGGTAGCCGTACCACCAGCCGTAGCCGGCGGAGAGGCCGAGGCCTGCCAGAGGCGTGAGTGAGCGAGCCAGCGAGCCAGCGAGGGAGAGGGTGTGTGAGAGGGAGGGAGAGAAGGAAGGGGTGTTGCGTTTGTGTGCCATTGGGGGAGGGGCAGGTGTGTGCTTAGCAGGCAGACAAGACGCACCGAAAGCGACAGAGATGTCGAGGACGAGGCCCCTACGGAGCATCTGCGCGGCGGGGGAAGCGTTAGCGTGACGTTCAAGCGCGAGAGCTCAGCTTTGTGCCGGTGGGCCGCCGAGGCGGGCCAGGGCGGAAGCTGTGGGCGAGGAAGAGGCGGAGCTTACGCCGGTGATGGGCTTGACGACCATGGTGGAGGAGTGGAGTGGAGAGTGGGTTGCTGGGAGCGGGTGTGGGATGATGCAGACGATGCGATGATGGAGGTGTCGCTTGGTAGGTTCCTGCCGACGGGGCGGCGCGGAGAAACGTGCGCCCGCGGGGAGGGTGAGATGAAGTGATGGGTAGTTGGAGGGCGGTGGAACGACGGCGAGGGAGTGGATGCGAGTGGGATTGGGAGTGCGAGTGGGAGTGGGAGAGGAGAATTGAGTGGTGGTGTTTTGTTTCTTGAGAAGGCTGGTTGAGGTGAGGCTGTTCGACGACACATGCACGCATAAACACATATATCTACATGGCAAAGCTCTCCATGGGCAATTTAGGTGCAGGTACAAGTTACACATACATATGTGTACAAGCATCTCCCCCGCTGCACGCACTCACCCGGAGCTGCGTCTCACTACGCATCACATCACCACCGGCCCTCCAAGCCCTCCCAACTCGTCGTCTCGACCGACAAGCCATCCGCGCACCTATCGAATCAGCCATCCCTCAACAGGCACACACACGCAACGAGCAAACTTACTTCCGGAACAGCCTGACCAGCGGCTGGCAGCGCACGACGCTCTTCGGATCCCCCCGGTCCACCACGTCGCACTCGTACTGCACCAGCTCCAGCAGCTTGCACTTGGCCAGGTCGACGGGGCGCCGCTTGTTGCGCAGCCGGTTGTCGGGCGTGTACTGCGCGCGGGCCTCGAGCTCCTCGGGCGGGAAGGCTTCGACGAGAGGCGCCATTGCGGGGTGTTGTTGTTTGTTGTTGTTAGGAGGGGAATGATAGGCCGCGGTTGTGATGAGTGGCGCCGATATGCTGGGCAGGGCATTGGTGGCTGAGGTCGAGGAGGCGTCGTTGGGTCAGGTATGTTGTTGTCGTGTGCGATGACACGCTCGGGATGCCATGCCATGCTCAACCTATGGATTTTATACAAAGTGCCGACTGGACTCACATAACTGTAGATTCTCCACTCGGCCAGACTGCAGCACGACCCCGCGCCCCAGCGCTTCGGCATCCCGCCGCTGGACCGCCTGCTCAACCTCTTCGCGCAACCCGTCCAGGAACACGCTTCTTCTTCGTTTTCTCCTCCCAAACCGCCAGTCGTGGAAATCACGTCGCTGGGCACGGGGGCAGGGAAGACGCACCTGCTGTACCTGATCGCAGCCATAGCGGTGCTCCCCCGCATCTACTCGGGCAAAGCCAGCGCCGTCGTCGTCATAGACACAGAGGGCAATTTCCTCGTCTCGCGCCTCGCAGACATCATGAGGCAGCGGATCAAGAGCGCGCGGAAAGACATGGTCGCCAAAGGCAAAGACGAAGAAGAAGAAGAAGAAGAAGAAGAAGAAGAAGACGAGGTCCTCGCAGCCGCCCTCGCCCACGTGCACATACTCCGCCCAGACACGCACGCCGCTCTGCTCGCCGCTCTCGCCGCCCTCCCCGCCTACCTCTTCGATCCCTGCGCGCACTGCTCCTCCCCGCGCCCCCTCCACAGCATCCTCCTCGACAGCGCGAGCGCCTTCTTCTGGCCTCTCCGCGCAGCAGAAGACGGCGCAAGGGCGCTCGACCCCGCGTCTTCATCGTCCTCCTCGGCTACCGCCGCCGCCGCCTACGCCGCGCTCGTGCGCCAGCTGCGCGCGCTGCAGAAGACGCTGGAGTGCGCGGTCGTGGCGACGAGCGCGTCGCTGCCGTCGTCTGGGCCGCAAGCGCAAGCGCGCGCACTCCGCCCCCTCCTGCCGCATACGTGGACGGGGTTTCCGACGCTGCGGCTCGCGATGGCGCGAGAGGGCGTGCAGGGGCGCTGCGCGGTCTGGGTGGATGAGTGGGGCGGCGAGACGTGGAGGAGCGTGGTGCGGGAGGGGGTTCGGGCGGAGGGGGGCTGGGGCGTTGTGATTGAGGAGGGCAAGATGATGGGCGGGCGTGTTTGAAAGGGAAATATCGCTACGTCCTCCGCCATGATCGACTCGCGCGTCGCTGGCGATCTCTTGCCCGTTGCACGCAGCACGCGACATTAGAGGCTTAATGAAACAATTAATGTTTAGCTACGGCTCGTGCCGTTTGCCCTGGCAATCACCACAGATGTATAAAGACGGCGGAGCGTCATGTTGTTCCCCAGAGGTGTGTGTTGGTTCCATTCCAATTCTTTCTTGCAACAAAAATGCATCTCCCCCAAGCAGCGCTTGCGGGGCCCTTCGTCTCCATCCTCAGCATCGTCGTCTTCCTCCTCCCCTCCACCCACGCCCTACCTCACTCCGCAGCCGCGCCCGCCAAGCCGCACGACACGCGGGCCACCGCATTCACGCACCCAGGCCTGCTGCACACGGCCGCCGACTTCGAGCGCATCACCGCCAACGTCAATGCAAAGAAAGAGCCCTGGTACAGCGGGTGGCAGAAGCTCGCCGCCCACGCCGACCCGGACTACGTCGCCACCCCCGAGGAAACCGTCGTGCGCGACTCCCCGGGCGGCAACTACCCGCACCTGTACCACGACGCGGCCGCCGCGTACGCCCTCGCCGTCTACTGGAAGGTCACGGGGGACAGCACGTACGCGGACACGGCGGCCGCGATCCTCGACGCCTGGAGCGCCGCCCTGAAGGAGATTACCGGCGCCTCGGACAAGTTCCTCGCCAGCGGCATCTACGGGTACCAGCTCGCAAATGCCGCGGAGATCCTGCGCGACTACGAGGGCTGGGACGGCTTTCCCGCGCTGGTGGACATGCTCGTGCGCGTCTTTTACCCCATGAACCGCGACTTTATGGTGCGCCACAACGACGCGGCCGTGGACCACTACTGGGCCAACTGGGAGCTGTGCAACCTCGCGACCATGGAGGCCGTCGGCATCCTCTCGGACAATAGCACCATGTTCTACGAGGCGCTGCACTGGTTCCAGCATGGTGAGGGCAACGGCGCGCTGCTGAACACGCTGTGGAAGACGTATGAGGAGGAGGGGTCCGGCAAGGTGCTTGCGCAGGGCCAGGAGGCCGGCCGCGATCAGGGCCACTCGATGCTCGATTTCGCGCTGCTGGGCGTGCTGGCGCAGCAGGCGTACAACCAGGGGGACGACGTGTTCGGGTACAGCGAGAACCTGATTCTTGCTGGGTGAGTCTGCCTCTTCCCCTACACACACACACACACACACACACACACAAACACACACAAATCTGACATACCCCCACAGCGCCGAATACGCCGCCAAGTACAACCTCGGCAACGACGTCCCCTACACCACGTACACGAACAGCGACGAGACGCAGACGGTTATCAGCGCCAACGGCCGCGGCAACATCCGCCCGGCCTGGGAGCTGCTGTACGCCCACTACGGCGTGCTCAAGGGCCTGGACGCCGAGTGGACCCGCCAGTACCGCGACATGGTCGTCGAGGCGGGCGACGGGGCCGAGGGCGGCGGTGGCGATTATGGCAGCTCCAGTGGCGGGTTTGACCAGTTGGGCTTTGGGACCTTGTTGTTTAGGCTGGATGAGTAAGTAGCGTGTGGGGCGAGGTGCTGTATATATTGGTTACTCCTTCTCTGGCTATAGGCCCACTTTTAGCTGTATATAGGCAAAGCATTGGATGCTCTAATATAGCCTTAACAAGCACATTCCTCTTTCAAGTATCCCATATCGCTGAGTTTATGGGCAACAATGCACATGTCTGCCGACTGTGGGGCTTCTCCAAGGCTGCTTGCTGGTGTCGAATCCCAGACATGGTTGACAATAAAAATTCAAGTGCATTGTCCGCGACACTTTCAATCATCGTCAAAAAAAAGATACTTGCCCAGAAGCGAATGACTCTGGGAAAGGAGAGCAAGGTCGCGGATGCAAAAAAGAATGCCCACTCTCGGAATCGAACCGAGGATCTTCTCATTTCGCAGGATACGAGTGAGACGCTGTACCACTAAGCCAAGCGGGCAGTCGCTAAGATGTGAAAATCATACAAAACAAATTTAGCTTATATTTCGTGAAACTTGTTGTTTGATGACCGGGTCCAAAAGCATTAACTGCCTCACCTTCTTGCTGGCCTTTCTGCTGTCCGTCAGGCCAACGTGCAAAAACACTTCTGGCTGCTATCAAGGGCTCTGTGGCATCGTGATACTTACTGTATAAATCATTCCCAAATTCACATGGTGCGAAAGATAATGACCGAGAAGCACGCATGGCAGGGAAAATGTTGTCCACGCGCTGTCATGAAACTCCAACGGAGCAAAAGGACAGTCCGTCGCTCTTATATACCCTTACCAAAAACGAGAAATAAGCATTACGTTAGACCGGGATGCCGCATCCGGCAGGGTAAGCCATGCTTTTGATCAGATAAGAGAGAGTAGGGGTGAGGTTGTGCGAATGCGGGGGTGGGGGGATTGGTGCGGAGCAGGTTTAGCCGAGGTTTATTTAGTGGGAGTTATTTCTTGACTTCATTCCTGTTCCTATTTCTACACTTCACTTCACTTCGTGTTTCCTTTCATCACCTGTTTGAGTAAATGAGGAAGTTTATGAGTGCAAAGTCTTGCTGCTGTTTTCCTGTCTTCATCAGTCCGCTTTCAAGTCGAATTTCTGCTGTCCGCTTGCTCTCTTCTGTCTCCAAACAGTCTTCGTCTCTTATATCCCCAAACCCCACTGTCAGAATGTCGTCTTCCGAGGCTCAACCCAAAGGCCCCATCAAGATGGCAATACTGGACGACTACCAAAACATATCACGCCCCTACTTCAAAGACTTTCCCCCATCCTCACTCGAAGTAACCGTATTCACCGACACCATCTCCCCATCCGACGACCTACCCGCCCTCGTATCCCGCCTTCACCCTTACAGCATAATCTGCACGATGCGAGAGCGGACGCCCTTCCCCGCCGCGCTAATCACCTCGCTTCCGAACCTTCGCCTCCTCCTCACCACCGGCACGCGCAACGCCGCGCTCGACCTCGCCGCCCTCCGCGCAGCCAACATCCCCGTCGCAGGCACCGACACAGACCCAGCTGCCTCCGCCGGCCGCGCCGCCACCACCAAACCCGTATCCAAAACGAACCAGCACACCTGGGCCCTGATCCTCGGTCTCGCGAACAACGTCGCGCGCGACGACGCGGCCGTCAAGGCCGGCGCCTGGCAGGACCATCTTCCCATGAGCACGTACCTGGCCGGGCAAACGTTTGCGTGTCTTGGCCTGGGCAAGCTGGGCGTCATGGCGGCGCGGGTCGCCGTGCTCGCGTTCGGGATGCGCGTGCTCGCGTGGAGCCAGTCGCTGACGCAAGAAGCGGCGGATGCGAAAGCGCGGGAAGCAGGGCTGCCGGAGGGGACGTTCGAGGTCGTGGGGTCGAAGGCCGAGTTGTTTGAGAGGGCGGATGTGCTCAGCGTGCACTACGTCCTCTCGCCGCGGTCGGAGGGCATTGTTGGCGCGAAAGAGCTGGCCGCGATGAAGACGTCCGCTCTGTTTGTTAATTCGTCGCGAGGCCCGCTCGTGGATGAGGATGCGCTGTTCGAGGTGCTGAACCAGGGCCGGATTCGCGGCGCCGCGCTCGATGTGTTCTGGAAGGAGCCGTTGCCCAAGGACAGCCGATGGCGGACTACGGCGTGGGGGAAAGATGGCAGAAGCCAGGTGCTTATGACGCCGCATACGGGGTTTGTGAGCGAAGAGACTATGCACGGCTGGTATATGGCTACGGCTGAAAATGTCCGGAGGTTCCTCGACGGTCAAGAGCTCACAACTCGGTTGGCATGAGGCTCGCGCGGTTATATTTTCGCCTGTGTGGGGAGATTTCTCGGTGGAGGCAACCATGCTTTCCCGATGGGTCATGGTGTCGCGGCTTCCACGTCTTTGGCTACGACGTTTAGCTACCTATGTTGTCTTGGGATGGTAACTCCATCATCAACACCACTTCATCCATTACACGCCATCAACTAGGTACCAATCCGTCCGTTTATACCCCAGCGGCGGTCGCCACAGTATATCACCACTCTCATTAAGTGTTTTCTGAAACAATACCGACCAAACCATCACGTTCGGCGAAATGCAGAATTCTCTGACTCCAAATTTATCTCTCCACAGACTCAGGACGTTCGTTTCAACCTTGTCCCGTTCTTTACTGAACCCGCTAACCTCATCCTTAGGGATGGATTTAATCTCCCATATCCAGACCGTGTCGCGTATTTCCGACACATTATTCGATTCCAGGCAACCGTGCCAGAAGCTTCAAAATGCTTCGACAATTTCCTGAGCAGTGCAATCCGCCCCCCATTAAAACGGGATCCCGCCGACGAAGAAACGCTCTTGGAGTACACGGCCTATTTCCTCCAAGATATGGTCACGGCGTGTCTCCTAAAACATTCAGAAAACTTCAACTTGATGCCACTGTACGACATTCTCTATCGGATTATCGCGCATCCCCAATACGACGCTGGCCACAGGAGCTACGAGTACTACATCGAACACTATTTGCCCAATGCTCTAAATCGAAGCCCGGTCGGTCTTCCATGGGAGCCCGGCCCGCCTCCGGGAAATCTGAATCTCATCCAGATGCGCCACTTCGATACGCCTACCTTGTGGTGGCTGATGCCCCAGGTAGGCGCTGACTTGTATGGCCTCGGTGGTCTAATCGACTTGAGGGAAGCGATGGAGGTGTTGCGTCCGGCAACTACCAACACATCGGTAACTACCAGCGCTCCATCTGCCGCCAGCGCTCCATCAGTCGCCAGCACTCCAGCATCAGCCAGAATACCATCTTTGGACGGTGCCCCAGCCACGGCCAGCACCTCAGATACCCTTGAACTTGCAGCCAACATATCTGCAACGGCCAGTTTATCGGCAGGAGACGGATACTGGGCAACAGTTGCTGAACCTGCTACGATGGGCAACGAACTAGCAACAGCTAGTGGATCAGGAACAGCCAATGGATCAGCAGCGGTCATTGAACCAACAACGGCCAATGAACCAACAACAGCGGTTGAACTAGCAATGGTGGCGATAGTCAATAACCTCTCAGCAGGCAACGAGCCAGCAACAGTCGACGAAGCAGCAATAGCCAGCAACGCAGAACCTTCCCGGCGGAGAAGGAAGACGGAGTGGAAGCATTACGCGAGCTACGGGCACAGCAGCGAGGGATTCGAGCCACCGGGGTACGAGGAGCCGCCGGAGGGAGACGCTGTCTAGTTTGTCAGATGTGCTCTATCAGTGGGCAGCACTAAAGCAATTAATTGAGAAAACACTAGCTCTCTTATCCTCGTCTGCTTGCCTGTGATGACTCCTCAATGCCACGCTCCCACTCCTCCCCTACTGTATACGTCCAGCGCAGCACGCACCCCGCACGCTGTCACGCATGCCACTGATCTGGCCCAGCGATGAGATTCTCACCCCACATATAGCGCACGCGAGACACGAGCACGGCCATGGCGCAACGTGATCGGCTTGATTTTCTCCCAACTCCAGTGTTAGTTCCCAGCGCCAGCGCCCGGGTCGGAGGTGTGGGGCTGCGTTTCCGAAACTCGGGGACGCAGCTAGCATGCAGTTCCTACCTAGTCTATACAAAGGCGAGGCTAAAGCGAGATCAGCGCGAAGATCCATGATGGCAAAGCCCGGGTGCCGGATTGACAGAGACAAGATGTAGTCTGTGTTCAGCCATCAGCTCACACGATGAATTGAATTAGTTCTTGGGTGAAAGCGTTTGAAGGATTCTGGAAACATTCCGCAGAAAAAGTTGTTTTGGTTTTGATAGTGCACATGTTTCAAAGGTAGCGTTTATCGTATCTGGTTAGGTGATCATTCTTTGAAAGGATGGATACATATCAGAACTAAAGACTGGGGCGGCACATAATAAGTGATCATCCACGCGCTTTTAGGCTCTACCTACAGCAAACTGTGCAAGGCTTTCGCAGTGCAATATGAAGCCAATAACTTGAGTCAGGTTCACTTGGCTTATTCGGAAGATTCCAGTGGAATTTTGGGTAAGCGGCGTGAGAAATATCCGTCATCCTTTGTCTGATGGTCAGTGCGTGGTGCGGGCGGAGGCCCGCCCGCTGGCGCCCGCATCGCCACTTTTCTAACGAGCAAGAACCCTGTTCAGCTGGTAGATACTCTGAATGATGATAAGCTTAGTATGACTGGGACGAAGGAGTCCTTGTAAGATGTTCTCTTATAAATACCATCCACCTCTTCTCAATTTCTTCGGCAGTTTACAAGAACCGTCTCCTTCAACCTCCTCTTTCCATACACCTTCACATCATGTCAAAAGTTTGGTTTATTACTGGCACGTCCCGTGGCTTAGGGCGTGCTATCGCCGAACATGCCCTGGAAAAGGGTGATTTTGTTGTTGCAACGGCTCGTAACACCGAACCCCTGGAGCAACTCGTCAAGACTTACGGTTCCGAAAAAGTCCTACCATTCGCTCTCGACGTCACCAACTGGCAAGCCGCTGGAGAAGCTGTAAAGGTTGCCACTGAAAAGTTCAAACGGATTGACATTGTTGTCAACAACGCTGGATACGGCAGCACGGCGTCTGTTGAGGACATGGACATCGCCAACTTCCGCGAGCAGGTCGAAACCAACTTCATGGGTGTCGTACACGTCACCAAGGCTGTCATCCCAGTCCTTCGTCGTCAAGGCTCTGGCCACATATTCCAAATTTCTTCAGTTGGCGGACGTCTCACCACACCGGGCTTGAGTGCTTACCAAAGCGCTAAATGGGCAGTCGGAGGCTTCTCTTTTAGCCTTGCCGCAGAGCTTGCTCCTCTAGGTGTCAAGATCTCGGTGTTGGAGCCTGGCGGTATTCGGACTGAGTGGGCCGGACCGTCTATGAAAATCCTTCCTGTCAGCGAACCATACCAACAAACCGTCGGCGAATTTGCCAAAATTCTACGCGGGATCTCAGGAAATGAGACTAGCGATCCTAAGAAATTCGGACCCATTATCGATCAGTTGTATGAGGCTCCAGAGCCGCCTCTTAGGATGTTGGTGGGCCCGGATGCTGTACAAATGTGGGCCCAGGCATCCGAAGCCCAATCGAACTCGGATGAAAAATGGAAGCAACTGAGCCTGTCCTCTTCCTTATAAGCGTACGATCTGTTTGATCTCAAGAGATCGGGATTGACCATTAGTACAAGGGACTTTTGTTGACAGTCAAATGGATCATATCTTCGATCCGAACACGAATGAGAACGCCTAAGCTCTAAGTTTTCTAGATATAGGTGTTTAAATATCACGTTTTTATTAGCATCTACATTTACTCCATTTGTGTCTGACTCACCGGCTAAAGAAGATAGCTTAATGACACTGAAGATTCACTAAGTGATCGTCCTTATTTTTGACCAGAAAAAGGTTAAACAAGGGTGGTTATATAATTTTATAGGAGCTTTCAAGCGGGAAACGCTGGTAATGATTGGATTTGGCACAGAAATCAAAATGTTCGGTTCGTTGATGAGGCATGGAGCCGCCCGGATACCACCTAGAAAACCAAAGTTCAATTAGCTATAAGCAGCTGGTCAAAATCTTAGGCGGGTAAGATATGTCTCAAGAAAACCTTAGAGGGTTGCGGTTAGTAAGCATTGCTGCTCTAGCTTCAGTCGTAGGTTGTTGCTAAGAGATAAGGGCTGCGGAAGGTTGACTACTTAGAAACACACCTAAGAGTAGCGCGGTTCTAGACGCTTTCTTCAAGCCTAAAATCTGGTCAAAGCTTTCAACTGGGCTAGAGTTTCACGCTAGCAATCTAGACTCTTACGTTATGGCAGCTCCCTAAACAGTATCACGCGTATTTATACTAAATTGATATTAGCAGGCGACACTAGTTGAGCTAGACTAGCGCTCATGCGAGATATCGGGCGTAACGGCGATCCGGAAATTAAGATAACAAACGCATGAAGAACGCCACAGCCCTAACGGTATATTAAACCTCTCTAGGGGGATTATTTATTATATTTGCGCTGAGTCGGTGACACCGAAGATTTAAAAAATCTTCCTACCGAGTCTCTCTTCTTTGCCCTACACGTTGTTATTTACTCGTAAAAGATGGGCCTCACTATTCCGCCCGAGGTCAAGGCGGACTGGTTAACCAATCGACAAAAATATCCATTTGGCGAGCGGCGGGGACCTTTTTCAACTATCCTCGTGTCGATCCTTCTTGCTTTGACTCTGACAATTGTTGGTGCAAGGCTATGGGCACGCTGCAAGGTTCGACGAAACGCTGGGCTAGATGACTGGCTAATTGTCGCAGCACTGGTAAAGTCTACATCTAAGCGTTTCACCCGCTACTATTACTTACTATATATTAGCCTTTTCTCGTTGCGTATGATGTTTGTCATCTCATAGGTATGTAGGTATGCGACTTAATCTAACCGCCATCTATAATCTTCTACCTCGCCACCTACGATCTTCTATCTAACTTCCATTCTAGGCTTCTATCAATTCGGCGTCGACCGCCATGCCTGGGAGGTTACGGCTACCCAAGCTGTTAACTTCCGTATTGTTACCTGGGCTATCTCGATATTCTATATCCTCGTAACATCGCTGGTTAAAACCTCAATTCTTTGTTTCTACCGACGACTAAGTGAGGGTATGACCAATACTTGGCTCTTCATTATCTATGGCTCTATTGTCTTCGTTGTTGTCTACGCCATTCTTGTTATCGTTATGGCTTGCGTAGCCTGCCATCCAATGGATGCTTTTTGGAACAAAATGGATGCGGCATGGACGTCAACTCACAGATATAAATGCTTTGACGAAGGAGCAGGCTTCCTTGCCTCAGCAATAGTGAGCGTTACCCAGGATGCTATGGTCTGCATCCTTCCTCTAATCGTCCTTTTCCGGCTACAAATGCCTCGGAAGCAAAAACTCGCTCTGGCCGGAATATTTGGGGTCGGATTTTTGTAAGTTTCAGAGCAAAAATGTCAGCGTACACTACTAACCGCCTAGTCTGTGTGCCTGCGGGATTATGCGCGCCGCCTCCATATGCAAGGTCTACTACCAAACATACGATAGTACCTGGGAAGCACTCCCCGCCTGGGAATGGACACTGGTGGAGATTCACTTCGCCATCATCTGCGCCTCCGCCCCCGCTTTGAAATTGTTCTTCCACCGCGTCCTTAAACCTTCAACAGACGGGAGCTATACTGGAGGCCGTCAAAGGCAAGATTACGGCCACCTTGGCAGTAGTAAGCAAGGAACAGATTCAACAAGAGGCGACGCGGCTATATCCATGCATGATATGCTGGCGTACGAAGAGGCAGCTACTCCGCTTCCAAGTCCCACGAATGGGAGAAAATCGACGGGGTGTCGTTCTTAAGGGAGGGTGGGACGGGTCGGGAAGCTTCAGCAAGAAAAGGCCTGGTAGATTCGTAGCCGAGAAGCTAATGATAGAAGTCATTAATGAGGTTGGTGTGTCCTCGGAAGGGAGCAATGCAAAACTAAGCGGACGGGCCGAAGTGGATATCTTGGTATGAGGTAGCCATGTTCATAGAGGCGTATGATTCTAAAAGCCCACTGAGAAACCGTAGCAGCAAGATTTGTACTTTAGTCTTTGAAGCTCCGCAAGCAGTGTTGAATGCAAGGTACCCAAGGTTGAAACTTTGTAACACTCGAGTCCTGCCAAATATCTCCGAGAGAGGGCTTATGAAAAACGGACCAATTGCAAATCCCAATATGAAAATAGAAAGAATCATTGACTCCTCAGCAGCGACAGTGAGAAGCAGATGGGTGTCGATGAGACGTTACGCGATTTGTCAAAGGCTGTATTACCTTCCACTGTCGGTAAATATGGATGGTGCAATAGTCCCAAGTTGGGGGCCATGAAGTGCATGCCAACATTTGCATAATCCTGATCTCAAACGGCAAGATTTACTCCGTTGCGAAAGAAAAATGGTTATGGCAACACCTAACCCTTGTTCGTGCCACACCATAGTGCCCTGAGCCGGTTTGTAACATCCCTTTATTGCAGTCTGCCACCAACACTGAAGTAAGCCTCCCTCAACATTGCAAGAAGATCATGTATGTCTACCGTGTATACCAATTGAATCTCTCAGCGCAGTGTCGGAAAATCGACAAGAGCTTCGACATGTTTGTTGGTCATCTGACTACTGGCGCTTCCCAGCGTTGATCCCGAGCTAGCGTCGCATGAAGGCTTCTTTCCGGGAGAAAGCCTCGTCCCGGAGTGCGTTGTCTTGGTGCTCTGAACAGAATAAGCGTCATTTTCGCTCCGGTTCGCCAACATCTTAGATCGAAGATAGGTTTGTAAAGTGGTAGCCATGAGGTTGATCGTGCGGTCTCGCAGTCTAACAATCTGGATACGATTACAAGTCATATAGTCAGTTTTTTATGGTGAGTACGCGCCAGCTCACAGATGACGAATGTCTGGCAAGGATTGTGCCACAAGCATGATGCTTAGCAATATCAAGCTTTCCCCACTCTTGCAATGACTCACCTGCCAACATCCTTACATCCATATATACGAGTTGGGAGCGTTGAAATCCAAATCGAGCCAATCCGACAAGTTCAATGCGGAAGGACTCCCTTGCCGCAAGAACTCGTGCAGTTCAGGCCACAAAACAGGCGTGGAAGGAAGAACTCCATGTGCAACATCTGCGCTTCCGCTTCCTCCTATTTCAGCTGTATCGTTCCCTGACTCTTCGGTGAATGCAGCTGTAGACGTGCTGCAAGAAGCTTCGTAGCGTGTTTCTCTCGCGTTTTCCTTCAACGATCCCAAGATTTTCCAAACACAGCTTGAGCGACCCTCCCGCTCAAAGGCATCTTCAAAATCTGCCAAGCAGGAGGAATAATTATCAACGGCTTTCCAGGCACGCTCGGCATCCAGTTTCTGCGGGTCATCCTTTAAGCAGTGCAACACGAGAAACAAGGCGTATAGCTCTGGATGTCGCCGGAAAAACCAGGCAAACTCTTGGAAGAGTTTTCCAGACTGTAGCAAGTATCCGTACTCAAGAAGATCGACACCCATGAGGAAGATCGATTGAGGAAATTGATGGTATCTTGACGTTGCGGTAGACCTGTTTTCGCGTTTATGGAGCCAGGATTGCAAAGCGAGATTGAATCGCGATTTCATGACTGACAGTCGAAACATAGCTTCTGCTGCAGCGCATATTGGTATTTTAAGATCAGCGAACCGGAACCACTTCTGAAAGATATTCTGTTCCGCATCCTGTAGTGACTTCTCCTTTGTCTGCGTGTCCTTTAAAGTTGTTACGGCGACGGCTTGTCTCAAACTTTGGCACAAACTTTGGCAAACGTCAAAGTTTGCAATAGTAAAGGTCATTTCTGTCCAGTCGTGTTTGCTATCCGGTAGGGTCGACATTTCTGGGGAGAGATCGGCGTCATTGATGTTTAGAGGTAGCCGAAGTGGTTGTTTGCGATCGAGAATGGTAGAATCAAATCCGTGGTCTTCTGGTGCGCTGTAATCTAGGGCAGACAATTGCCACCATAGCCTATATCTCATCTCTGTATCGAAAGGGCTTAGTCCCAACCGAGATCCGTCCCGGTGAAGGCCAAGTGACTCTGCCAAGCGGATTGCTATCCCTACAAGGACCCACGCAGGCCTTCCGATATCGTGTGTACGCAAGGCCGTCTATTATCATTAGCCTAGAGCTTCTGCTAGGACGTGCAGACATAATTACCAAATAGATTACAAGCGACTGAAGAGTCTGCAGATCGGGATAGATTAGGAATTTGGCTTTCATTAACGATTGGTCCATTTGGTGCATGAAGTGGCGGAGGAGTGATAACTGTTCAATTCCAAACTGGCTTAGGGTCCTTTCCCTTGAGATAGTGGTGGTAGCTGCAAACGACATAGCATATAGCAATGCCCTTGTCGTATCAGTTGCTGGAAGGTCTTTGTTTGTGGCGGCGAAAAAAACCGACCGTACTGTTGGAACGTGTAAGAGTTTCATGACTGGATCTACGTTGCGAACGTAGATATCCCAAAGTTCAGAATAAACATGAGTCGGCACATTTACACATTCAGTTTGCGGGCCAAAAACATCAGTTGCTATTACTCCCACAGTATGTGAAGAATGAAGTGAGTGTGGTATAGCATTTGCGGATCGTGTCGGAGGAGTTAAACAGTTCTCTCGCCGTGTTGGGTCCTGAAAACGTTAGCACTCGACCATAATGTAAGCTATAGGTGATTCCAACATCAAGGACCAGGTTCACGAATACTGAATCATCTACGTAGCTGCCCCTCTCTGCATTGCCAACAAGAACGCCTCGAGACGAAGTAGCTGACGGACTGTGCTGTCGGACAGCATGCGAATCACCGGCTGGGACACTCGGGAGTTTACCCGCTCCGAGAGACGTTATTAAACTGTTGAGAAGGGTCTCGACAGTACTAAGACGATTTATTATTTCGGCATTGCTTGGTTCGGCAGCTGCTTCGCGAGGATCGTCCTCAGACAGAGTGGAAGTCGTCTCCGGGTTCGAATTTGGCGAGCCTTTCGGAGGCGGTCTTAGGGGCGCACGCCTAGATGCTTTTCCATACTTGCATGGGAGCTGTAGCCGGGAACAATGAGCGCAAGGAATCTTTCTGTTGCAACGGACTTTGCGTTGTCGGCACTGCTCGCAGGTAGGACGCTGTTGGCGAGCCGAGAGAGTCGAGTCATCCATGTGTCGGGTGTGGCTTTGTCCAGGTCTTCGGTAGCCAGAGATGAAGATGTGTCATGGAAGTTAGCGCCGCTTACTAAGTGGTGCCTTCAGGGACAATGACATCAACTGAGATGCACAAAGACTTTTCACAGCTAGGATCGGGTCCTGATCACGATGAGATAGTACTGATGCAACTTGTAAGTGGTTTCTGGATGAGTCTTTGGCATTCTGCTGGCAAATTTTGCGAACTCTACCGAATGCGGAATTCGGCCGATCGGCCGGTCGGCCGGTCGGTGTTATGGTAGTAGTGGTACAGATTATGTATGGTGAACACATGGTCCCCTCACCACCTCCGCAGCATATAATTACGACCGACTATCTATCGGAGTCTTTGATAAACTTCACTTCATCTGCTATTCATGGACAACGAACGCGTTCAAGAAAACGGAAAGCCGCAGTTGCTTTTCCAAGAGACAGACCTCGATCGAGGAATTATAGGATGGGACGGACAGAAGGATCCTCAAAACCCCAGGTAAATACTATCGTCTTGGACGGATATGGCTTCGTACTAATTTGAGAAAGGAACTTTTCGCCAACGGTAAAATGGATCACCATGTTCCTCGTCAGTTGCATGATCATCCTGAGGTTCGTAACTTTGTTTGAACTCCAGGTTGAGCGCAGACTAACACACGCCTCACAGTTTCCTAGCATCTTCAATTGTCGCCCCTGCTGCATCTCAAATCAACGCCGAATTTCATAATGACTCTGAAATACTCTCATCCCTGGTGACCACAATCTATGTGCTTGGATATATGGTGAGTACATAATTAGGACGGCAGTCTTCCTATTTTGCCATTCAAATCTAACAACCTATCAGGTTGGCCCTCTTGCCTTATCCCCACTTAGCGAAATCTACGGCCGCCTCGCAATAATTCATCCTGCGAACGTCTTCTTCACCCTAACTCATATCGGATCAGCTCTTGCTCCCAACCTTGGAACGCTTCTAGCTTTTCGGACGCTCTCGGGACTAGGAGCTTCTGCATGCCTCTCCATTGGTGGCGGTTTAACGGCCGATCTCTTTTACACACATGAACGCGGTATGGCTAGCGCTGTCCTGACTCTTGGATCTCTGTTCGGCCCCGTCCTCGGTCCTCTCGTCGGTGGAATCATCACACAACGCGCAGGCTGGAGATGGACATTTTGGGTGCTCCTTATTGCCTGTACAGCAATTACTTTGACCATGGGCTTTTTTGGACGAGAAACGCACCCAGAAGTGATAATTCGCCGCAAAATGGGCTCGCTCCAAGATAATCTCGGGCGAACAGACCTGAAAAGCGCTTATGATACCGGGAAAGATGAGAAAGCACCAAAGTCTAGTAAAGCCCTCCTCCTTCGAAGTTTCGTTCGCCCCTGGCAAATGTTTCTATGCACGCCGCTGATTCCGATCACTTGCCTCCAAGTTGGCTTCATCTCCGGACTCCTGTACATTCTACTTACCACAACATCAGCCTTCTTCCAGGAAGTCTACGATTGGTCACTCGAGGCTGCTGGGCTCGCATATCTCGGACTTGGATGCGGCAGTGCCATTGGCTTCGTCGTCTTTGCAAAAACCTCGGATCTTGTCGTAGTCCACCTGACAAAGAAAAACGCAAACATTTACAAACCGGAAATGCGCCTCGTTTCATCTTTCCTCCCTGCAATTTGTATACCAATCAGCTTCTTCTGGTACGGCTGGTCGACCTATGAACGGAATCACTGGATAGTTCCGATACTTAGCCTGGCTCCTTTTGGATTCGCTCAATTTGGCATGAACGCCAGTTTACAGGCGTATATTGTTGACGGGTCCGGTATATACGCTGCCTCAGCAATGGCATGCGTATCTTCTGTTAGGTGCCTCTTTGGTGCATTCATACCACTAGCCGGACCGAGTTTGTATGCAAGTCTCGGGCTGAATTGGGGGAACTCTTTGCTCGGGTTTGTGAGCTTGGCTATTGTTCCTCTTCCAATACTGATGTATGTTTATGGTGAAAAGTTGAGAGACAGGTATCCTTTAGATAGCGATTGATTATGACATTTTGAAAGAATTGCATGCAATAATTTCTAGGAGATCAGTGTCCAAGTAGGGTAAATGCTAAAAGCTACAAACCACCCATTCCAATGTGGTTTTCGGTGGTTACATCTAGAAAGTCCCACATCGAGTCTCCAAGTAGTGAGTTGTTGAAGAATGCTTCAATCTCCGGGTCCACACGTTCCTCGGTAGTTATTCCATTCCCAGGTTCCGATGCGGTTGGTTTACCAAACGAAGTGCCAAAAGGCTGGTGAGCATCCAAATCAAAACTAGCGTTATTTTGGAAGCTTTCTCCTGAACGGTTTTGAGCCGTGTGTGGCACCGGTTCCATTAGGCTTTCTCTCATTCTTCTTTCTTCCACGTCACTTGGGGCACATGCAGGTATGCTGGTGGTAATTGAAGATCTTGCCGATTCAGACCCTGTGCCCACTTGCAGTTGTCCCCAGCGCTGCATTGTCAAGTCGACGATTCGCTCGAAACTTTCTTTTCCGCGTTTGACTGACGGCCACCACTCTCCACTGGCGCTCAGGAGGTTTGAACATGTGCGCAATTCTTTCGGGAGGCTTATAAAACTGACAGATTGCTGCATAACATTCGACGCCCAAAAGCAGTAGACCATTACTGTCCCAGACGCGAATATGCTCTGCACTGTCCTCCAGCTGAGATAAAGGCTGTCCCGAGCGTGCAACGCATCATAACCGCGTATCCGCTCAATGGCGTGGTCGAAGCAGGTTTTCAAGGAGCGCATGTTGGGATTTCTGATCGCTTGAGACGGTTGGTATAGCAGGATCATTGCAGCATGATAACGAAGCTTTAGCTTTAGCCTGAACAGTTCAATTTCAGCAGGTTCCAAGTCTCCTGACATTCTTAACTGCGAAATTGTTCCAGGTATTTGCTGAAACCAGTCATTCAGTTCTTTTTGAAGGTCGTGCTGGCATTTAAAAGTGTCATTTGGCCATAGAAACGTATTGGTTCCTGTAGGTAGATGGTAAAGCAAAAGCTTGATGTTGGAGAGGATCCGGTGAAGTTTAAAATTGTGGATTGAGTATGAGTCCAGTTGAGCCGCAACTTCTTTGATCCCAAACAGATCTGACTCCCAAACCTGGTTGGAGGTTTGGCCAGTCATTGAAGGTAGTTGGACATCGAATGCTTCATCTCGAATACCAAGCGGCCGGCCCTGTATTGTGGCAATAGATCTTCTCTCGTCAGTATGTACTCTCTGCTAATCGAGTCAAGACATACCTTTCTAATGAGTACGCGGTATAAAATATAAACCTGCGAATATTCCTTGACTCGTTTCTTAGATCTTCATGTTCTCTGTGAATCCCCAAGTCGATACTATGCGCTATGCAAATATGAACAAGCGTCCAAATATTAATTTCGGCCGGGATCATCAGGCTGCGAACGGCTAGAAGTATCAGGCCCTGTAGGGACGGAAGTGTAATAGACGAAAAGCACTCAGCTGCATAAGACATAGCAGCGCGATAGAATCTTGTGGGCGAAACTTCAAAATTCTTTCCTCGTGTCCGCACGGTAGCTGCAAGGTTTAGTACCATGAAGACCTGGAATGCGGCCGCGTAAATTGAGATGGGTGTTACTTCTGCGCCGGCAAGCTTCTCAAAATTACCGTTGTAGGGAAATGGTTTGATGCTTTCTGGCCAGCCATTATGGCCCACTGATGTATCCGGTCCAAGATCAGCAGAGTCGTAAAGTGCTTGTACTGCGTCCAGGAAGGATGGCGCATGAAGACAAGGGTGATCTGGGTGGACTTCACGGAAATATGTTTCAAGCAACGAGTAAGTCTCTTCTTTCGTGGGAAGGTCCTGCGTATTGTTAGCCGGACTACGTCGGAGTAAGAGCAAAGTTAACACTGACATTTTGCAACTGCGTGTATAGTTGTTGATGAAGCCTTTTGGCTTGTCTGTGCTGAGCAAAGGCCCGGCTTCTTTCGGAGCGAGTTGGCTCTATTGTATGATTATCTCTTGGGACGCTCCGCCCGTCTCCCTGTTGAGGGCTTGAAAAATCTTCGGGGCCAGCTCCTATGATTCTGGTAAAAAGAAGGCCTGAGGAAGAGCCTAAGTAGTGTCGCTGCCGTGAGTCTGAATTTAGTGTTAGCATCCCCAAATCTGTAACCACTGATCGAGCTTCTTCAGCCAGAGGTCGCTCAGATCCTGAGGATGCCATGGTAGTGTGCGGTCTTTTCGGTACTTGAGGGTTTTGTGGAGACGAAACAAATTGCTGTTGAGGTGGATGGTCGTCGTCCCCTTCGACCGAGAATGGAAAAGACGGCGAAGCTTCGTTCTGCGCCGTAGGCAGCCCAGGAGGCGATTCCAAGGAGGATAGGTCAACCTGTGGTCCAGCGGCAAGATCGAAGTCGGGAATGTTCGTCCGTATCACGTTTTCGAGCCATCGAATACGCGCTGGTCCATTTACGAGAAAGCTGCAGGCTCAATAAATTAGTAAGGCTACGCTAGATTTCAATTCTCAATTCTCACGTCCTGGGTATTAGCTGCTCCGCATTGCGGCCATCGACGTCCATGCAAGGAACTCCCGCTTTCGCGCAGTTACCGCATGCTGGGACCTGTCCATCGCACTGCGCACACTCCGGTGTTAGTCATGTTCTCGACAATGTAACGGAAGCACCTACCTTGACCCGTCTGAGGCGGCATCGACGGCAAGCGGACCGGACTTTCTTTGCAGACGTTTCACTAGACATGCCCGCTGGAAGGGCGATGGACGTGTGGATAGTTATGAGCCGCGTTTAATGGGTTGGAGTAAGGGATTGGCTCTTATTCCCGGCGTGCGGGGTTGGCCGCTTAGCGCCGACGATCACGCGCAAACGAATCGGCCCTCGATTTCCCCTACACCATCATCTCATCTCCATCAATTAAAATTCTATCAAACCTGACCATACAGCTCTCTGGAGTTGTAAACCATCATGTTCATCCACTCTTCCTCGGATAGCCAAGAGCGAAGGCTTGTCAACCAACCAACATCGTCTACCTTGAGATAGGGTGTCTCTTTCAATGCCTCTCCCGGCAGCCGGACTTTCATCCTCGGCGTGTGCGGCCTGTGAGAAACTGTGAGCCAAGTGTCGCACAAAATCATTGCGGCCGTTGCTTACCAATCGCTCCCCCAGATGATTCGTCGCGGATTAGCATCCACTAACCCCCGGACAAGCGGTTCCAAATCTGCATAGTTGGGCTCTATCTCACTCACCCTGTACGGTGCGCTTATCTTCACCCAAAGAATGCCTTTCCGCAGGAGTTCAGTTATGTCTCTGAAGCCAGGCTGAGCGGTGACGTCGCCGTTGCAGAAATCCGGCAGCATGCTCTTCCCTTTCAATAGAGCAAAATGATCCGTCACCAGCGGAATACCAGCTGGTACAAGCTCCCTTTCAACCAAAGGCCTCAACTCCGCCCAGAATTCTGGGTGGGTGTGGGTGATGGTCAAACTCCAGCCTGGACAGCGGCCTATGATGCGGTTTGCGTGTGCTCGTAACGCAACCTTCTGCAGTTCGACATCGTCCATGGCCTTGTATTTGTAAAGATTGACTCGGATTCCGCAGACTCCAGCCGCTTTCAGTATGTCCAGTTCTTCGTCGGATACGAAATCGGGGTCAATTACACCAATTCCTTTCGTTGACGACTTGCCAATCCGGGATATAAAGGCACCCAACGACGAACAGTCAGATCCATACGATAAGCCATGAGTTAGTACCGAATTTGATACGCCAACTTTCTGCTTAAACTCCAAGAACTTTGCCACGGTTGCAGGCGGTGGCGTCAAGTGTCGGTCAGGTGCGTATGGGAACTCGGCAGCTAAGCCTGAAATTAGTTGTGGTGCATAATTGCGTGTGGCTACTCACGTTCGAAGATATGATGGTGGCAGTCCCAGCTGCCCTCTGGTAGAATGGCCTGCAATGGGTTCCTGACGGCCATTCTGATTCTCTTCAAGACGACTGAGCATTGGACAAAAACAGCCCATTTTCCTAACCACTACTTATATTATGATTATATCCGTTTCGTCGACTGCACCCTCATACGATGCCCCGCCTACACAATACGCTCTTCGGAGCTACCATCTCGGAACTGTTCCGAGCGCACTTCTTTAGGCTCCGGGTACCTATCTGTACATTAGTGAGTTGGACAATCCGTGTGGATGATGCAGGCTCGGGTTGCGGGGTCGCCCCGGGTTCGCATACCCGAATTGCCCTTAGACGATCATTTCGAGGGTTTAGAAGTACTCCGGTAAGGTTAGATTATCCTCGGAATCACCCCGTGTCTTTACGCTGAAGCCGAGGGTGCTTACCATTGGCTCAAGTGCAATAAAAAGCTCATTGCATTGGCTCGGGGCTACCCGCATGAAGGCGGAGCCATCCGTGCCGAGGCACCTGCTGCGGATTGGTCCGCTCAAACTAAAGTAGTCGAATCATAGCTCGCCTTTTGGTCTTTTTCGCATTTTCACGTCAAGGTCATCTACTTAATTTTGAACCACGAAAAAACACAAGGCGATTGCGGTCGGGACCTCGCCGAAGAGTTTTGCGATCTTACACAACGCTTTTATCGCGCACCAACTACTTAACGAAAAGAGAATCGGCTAAGGCACCCCTTGACTACGCTTTTCAACACTTTACCTGACACTTCACTTGGTGTTGTTTGGTCCAAACATGTTGCGAAGCGCCCTGAAGAATGGGACGAAGCGCAACCACTACCTAGCCAAAGCCAGCACACGAAGGCTCGCAACCCCCTCGTCTGCGGTTGGTATCAGCCCACTGGAACCTGTACGTCCTAGTAAAAACCTTTTTAAATTATCTCTTATGGTTGGCTGATTTTAAAACTACTTTCAGGGACGCTATCTTAATTATGAAACCCAAATCCAGACCCTTTTGGACATCACGAAAACTGACAATCGCCCGTTGACGTTATCGGAAAAATTGCTGTATAGCCACCTCATAGGGACAGAGAAAGGTGAATGGTCATTGAAAGATATTAAACGTGGGTCAACTATCCTTCAACTTCGTCCTGATCGAGTTGCTTGCCATGACGCGACAGCAACCATGGCATTGTTGCAATTCGTTAGTGCAGGTCTGCCCCGCGTGGCTGTGCCAACGACTGTTCATAGCGACCATTTGATAGTGGCAGAAAAAGGAGCAGAGTCAGATTTGCTACGCGCTCTAGGCGATCATAGAGAGGTCTACGAGTTTTTGAGCAGTGCAGCAAAGAGATACGGCATTGGCTTTCATAAGCCAGGATCCGGCATCATACATGTCATCATATTTGAGAATTACGCCTTGTGAGTGGTGGTCGACACTGTCTGCTTACAACGAACTGATTTGCATGCAGCCCAGGAGGCTTGATCATAGGAACCGACTCGCACACACCGAATGCAGGTGGAATGGCTATGCTCGGCATAGGTGTAGGTGGATCGGATGCAGTCGATTCGATGGCAGGAATGCCTTGGGAACTACAATGTCCGAAGGTCGTCGGGGTCCGGTTGACAGGAAAACTGAGCGGCTGGACATCCTCCAAAGACATCATTTGCAAACTCGCGGGCATTTTGACAGCCTCGGGAGGCAAAGGGAAGATTATTGAGTTCTTTGGACCCGGAACCAAAACTCTTGGAGCCACTGCAATGGCCACGGTATGCAACATGTCAGCGGAAGTCGGTTCGACCTCATGCATATTTCCCTACTCGGAGCCTATGCGGCGATACCTAACATTTACCAAACGTGCCGACATTTCTCAAGCCGCGGATAAAGTCAAGAACGTTCTTCTTACTGCCGATCCTGGTAGCGAGAACTACTACGACGACATTATCGAGATCAATTTGGATATATTGGAACCGCACATCAACGGCCCTTTCACACCCGATCTCTCTCATCCGCTTTCCGAGTTCAAACAAACGGTCCGCGAAAACGAATGGCCACAGAATATCAGTCATAGTATGGTCGGAAGCTGTACGAATAGCTCCTATCAGGATCTTCTGAAGGTCCGGAATTTGGTCAGGCAAGCTAAGAATGCGGGTTTGTTCAAGGTTCGCACGCCATTCATGGTTACTCCAGGAAGCGAGCAGATTCGGGCGACGACCGAGGCGGAAGGTATCCTGCAAGAGCTTCGTGACGCCGGCGCAACTGTTCTCAGTAATTCCTGTGGTCCTTGTGTGGGACAATGGGATCGGACCGATGTCGACGCCAAACAAAGGGAGCCAAATTCAGTCGTCTCCAGCTACAATCGCAATTTTGCAGGACGCCATGACAGCAATCCCGCCACCCACTCCTTTGTAACTTCGCCCGAACTCGTCACAGCGTTTGCATATTCCGGCAAACTTGGCTTCAACCCGGTCACGGATTCTATTCCATCTTCTGGCTCTTCCAACGTGTTTCAGTTCAGTCCGCCTGAATCACTGGAGCTCCCTCAGCAATTTACCTCAGGTGAAGACCTCTTTCAACCTGCTTTGGCGGATGGTTCTTCGCTCTCTGTCAGCATCAATCCGCGCAGTGACCGCCTGCAGCTGTTGAAGCCCTTTACTGCCTGGCAACCCGGTCAAGCAATGGACATGGAAGTTCTCATTAAAGTCAAAGGCAAATGTACAACTGACCACATCTCCCCTGCTGGGCCTTGGTACAACTACCGTGGACACCTCGAAAATATCAGCAACAATATGCTCATCGCTGCTACCAATGCCTTCCTTCACTCTGAGGGCTCATCCAATATTGGACACACACGCAACCCTATTACAGGGCGTGTCGACATTGTCCCCACGGTCGCCAGAGCGCTACGCGATGTCGGGCGCCGCTGGTGTATCATAGGAGACTCAAACTACGGCGAAGGCAGCTCGCGTGAGCATGCTGCATTGGAGCCGCGGTTCCTCGGCGGGACGGTTGTCATTGCGAAGAGCTTCGCTCGCATCCATGAGACGAACTTGAAGAAACAGGGAATGTTGCCAATGACATTTGATGACCCTGCTACATACGACCGTATTGAGGAGGGCGATAAGGTTTCGGTGTTGGGCGTTGAGGATAGTGAAATGATGCCTAGCAAGCCAGTGACAATGCGCGTTGCAAGGGTAGACGGTGGGATTTGGGAGGCACAACTCAACCATTCGTATCATAGCGGGCAAATTGAGTGGTTGAGGGATGGAAGCGCTCTAAACCACATCAAAAACAGGTTTTTGTCGGGGGCTTCATAGTTATTGCGAAAGAGTAGTGTATAAAACCTAATTTGTTCGTAGAGGCACATGGACAATTTCATCTCTCTAGAACGAGTGAAGAGCTGCCGCGGTAGCGGTTGATTTTGATTATTTACTTCCTACGCCATGGCCCTTCCACCTGCATCAATGTTCTTTCCGTCATTATGCGAATATGATGTGATAAGGAAGGTGAACATCACCTACTCAGAATAATTATACCTCGATAAGCAGGAGCTCCCCGTCTACTTTTTGAAGGGACTCTCGCCACCAACACGTTAGCTTCGGATAACTCCTCTAAGCCCGGAGTCTTCCACAGCCCCCAGTCTCTATGTTTCCCCGCATTTTAATTTCTAGTATCGGGATGTGTCTATTTCCCCGCATACTCGCTTCCGAGACACTGTCATGTGTCGAAAGCTTAGCCGCTTGGCCATTATTCCTTAGGCAACAATATAAAAGCGTTGTCTGATGTCGGAAGAACTTACGCAAAGTGTTCTCCAATCCTGTTCTTTACTTCCCAAAGTTTCTTCAGACTGAAAATTGTTTGAAGCATTTCGTTTGATTTTTCAATTCCAACATGGGCGGTGCTTTCGGAGGCTTAGGCAGGCAAAAGCTCAGCAAAACGCCCCGAGAGGCAGCAAGGTGGAATATTTGGTTGACTGTAATCTGGGCCTCCTATTGCGGTGGCCTTCACGGCTTCAACACTTCCAACATCTCCGGAGTGATGTCTATGAGCTCATTTAAGCGGGATTTCGGTTTCGATCAACTCTCTTCCGAAGCCATTGCGGATCGCCAAGGCTGGGCGGTCTCTTCCATGCTTCTTGTAAGCCCTTCCGTTGACTTTTACATTCTGCTTATAGTTATCTAATGAATTTATCCAGGGCCAACTTGTTGGAGTCATACTTTCAGGCCCGCTAGGTGAGACACGCGGAAGGAAACCGGTTATCCTGGCAGCCGCAACTTGCTATACCGTCGGAGCAATCCTTATGGCAGCGAACTTGGGATCGTACGCTGAGCTTTTGGCTGGGCGTGTTCTTTCTGGATTAGGTTCCGGCTTTGGCATGACCGTCGGCACCATCTACATCTCTGAGGTCGCTCCCAGTGCTCTACGAGGCTGCATGGCCACACTATACAATGCGAACATCATGTTGGGAGTCACAGCAAGCTACTGGATCAACTATGGCTCGATCTTACACCTCCCTTCATCTGGAAGTTGGCAGTGGCGTGCCGCTATGGTGCTCCAATTGATTCCTTCAATTGCGCTGTTCGTCGGTTATTCATCCTGTCCAGAATCGCCGCGATACTTGATCATGAAAGGACGCACCGAGCGAGCCAAAAGCGTCTTGAGCAAATTAAGAAATCTATCTCACGATCATCCCTATTTTGTGGAAGAATTTACCGAGCTTACTGGAAAGGTTTCCACAAATGGTGGGCAGAAGTCAAGTCTCGGTGCACTGAAGGAATTAGCATACTTCTGTGCACGGGATCCATCGACACGGAGAAGAGTAGTCTTTTGCCTACTAGTTCAAACATTCTTTATCATGTGCGGTGGTAACTCGATTACATACTACGCACCCAACATTTTGGAGTCAATCGGTCTCAAGTCTACCCAAATGCTCCTATTCACGGCCATATATGGATGTATTAAAGTACTTTCTGTCCTTTTGTATGCTTTTATTCTCACTGACCGATACGGACGGAGACCGCTCCTACTTCTCGGCTCCGCGATAAACATGCTTTGCACGTTGTATCTGGCCGTATTTCTTGGTGTCGCCAATATCTCTTCAGATGCACCCACAAGCCCAGCAGCTTGGGTCGCTATCGTTGCAATATGTATATTCGCCATCGGTAAGCTACGTTCTTTAGAATTCGAGTACAATTACGTTAGTTGATCCGCTGATGTGTAACACACGCAGGCTACGGATTCGGTTGGGCTCCAGCGTTTTCTCTTGCCGCTTCTGAGATTTGCCCCACACGTACACGAGGTCCAATCGTCACAATCTCGTTTGCTTACCAGAATCTCTTAAACTTCGGCATAACCAGAGGCTTTCCTAACATGGTAGAGGCCATGCATCCTTGGGGGCCGTTTGCTCTGTTTACTGCTTTTACTGCCGTTGCGACAGTATGGGTGTTTCTGTCATTTCCAGAATGCAAGGGGCGCAGTATGGAGAGCAAGGACGCTTTGTTCAACTTGCCTTGGTATAAAGTTGGAAAATCGTCGATGGAGAACAGCCCCTCAAGGTTCGATGAGGAAAACCCAAGTATTTCTGAGAAGTTTGGCGTGAACAACCAGACAGAGAGATAAGTAACAACAATAACGACTAAAGAAAGCGTTCCCTACTATCTAGCGCTAAATTATTATCTTCTAAGTAATCGGAATTTCGCGAATATCATCTATTGTCTACCGTCTATTGAACCTCATGGTAGGCCGGTAAACCTACCTACTAAGTACCCTTCTCTAAACATCCTGCTTTTGCTGTCTGATTTTCTCCGCTTGTTGACTGTAGAATCCCACTCTACCACTGTTGTTTTTCCAGTTTTCGAGTTTTTCAGCTTCACTGAGTATGAGCAGAATCTTGCTCAGAAAAGCTTCATCTTTCATATTCGGAAGGCCGAGAATGAAGGCTTCGGCTTCCGGACCGATTTTTAACTGAGACCGACAAGAGAAGTTGGCAGATTGCGTGATGTTTGTGACACGAGCACAACGCTTTTGAACATAGCTCTTCAAGCATTTCTCGATATCGGAAGTCGGAATGTTGCGAGGGATGGAATCACCATGCTGACCACGGAGATCCAACAGATGGTTGACAAAGCAAGCTGCAGACTCCATTGCTTGGTTGGCACCCATAGCCGCATGAGGAACCATCTTTCCATAATTCTGTTAGTACCGTTTTTACACTGGTTGTTTTGAAAGCCATACCTTGTGCGCAGCGTCCCCCATCAGAACCATCCTTCCTCTAACCCAGTTCTTCGCAATCCCTTCCTCAAGTCCGGTCATGATAGCAGTCCGTCTGTTCGCAAAGATGTCGGAAAACTTGACCCCCGTTGTGACAGTAGTATTGGCAACTTTGGCATAAGCCGCTTCGATGTCTTTCGCGGCGTATCTTTTGTTCTCACTGAACTCAACAGACGTCTTCAGATCCTCAATGAGAAACCAATAAAGTACGCCATTCATCCCAGAGAAAATCAGCAGGGATGCGTCGGATTGGTACACAGTAAAAAAACGGCCTGGGGTAATTTGCGGGAGCGCATTCGAAATTCCGTAAACGCAAGCATATTTGGATGCAAAATCTAGAATGTGGTCAGGTATATATCCCTTCTTGACCATTTGAACAGGTGGGACGTACACGTAGAATCAAGGGTTTCCTGCAGACCCGGTGTCAAAGCTTCAATTTCCCGGCGGACTGCACTTCGCACGCCGTCAGCCCCAACGACAAAGTCGCAGCTAACTTGGCTTCCATCAGTGGCGGTGATGATGGCATGGGTCGAAAAGTTTTGGACCGAGGAGAGCCTTTTGGAAGTGTGGACTTTCGTTTTATCTCCAACCTTGGCATACAAAATCTCAAGAAGACGCTGTCTTTCCATGAAGAATCCACTGTAGCCGAGTCTTGCCACTGCTCTTAGCATACTTAATTTTACGGATTTAAAATCACATGCGCACTTACTGATCTGGATAAGATCGCATGAATCTCAAGGTGCAGTACAGCGTGCCGTTGCCGTCACGGTGCTCCCATGCATCATGAGGTACTGCATATTGCTCGAGATCTTGAATGACGCCAATTTGGTCGAGAATCCGCAAACCATTTGGCATCAGACCAATGCTGGCACCGGCGGGAGGAGCGACTTGGGATTGTGATTCCCAAAGGACATAAGCAATGCCCTGCTGCTCCAAAATGTTGGCCATTACTAGCCCGGCGACACCGCCGCCAATAATTGCCACAGTGACATGTTCGACAGCCATATTGATGCACTTCTTGGAGCGGAAAGTTATGGAAAGGGGAATGACAAGGTCTTGGAAGATGAAATAGCAAGGTCTTGGAAGATAAACAAAAATGAAATATCTTCAGGGCATCATTAAGTATACATACATAGATCCTCGGCCAACCGTGCTCTTGTCTTGGCATACTTGCCTAATTCGTTCGGATTTCTGTCGCTCCCGACGAGCTCTGCCACGTCTGCCTATAGTCGGGCATTGGTATGTCGGCGTCGGTATTTCGGCATCGGTATTTCGGCCCCGAACGGGCCGTCTCGAGCTCAGGGGCTCGGCAGGTAAATTCGCACAAAATCGCGTCCTGATCAACACCAGATACTACTACTTTCAAACAGAAACTAAAACAGGCAGCCAGGCATTTTATCCGGTTGGATGAGATGGTTCTCGGGTAGCAAGCTGGCTGATCTGGTTGTATTATAACTAGCCTCTAAAACATTTCTTTGCCGAGATCTACTAAGTAGGCATCGGCAGCTGGCAGCTGGCAGTAAAACGAATTAGAAGTAAAAAAGTCGGTATAATTGATCGACACAGGGGTGTCGCAAGTGCATTGAATCGTGACTGGTCGAACGGATCACACAGATTCAACTATCTAGACCCGAGAAACTCGGTGTATCGGCCTTCGGGAATTCCGAGACTTAAAAATTAGTCTTTTCTCTTGATAACTAGACCATTCCCTCGAAGCTTCCTGTGGTAATGCTCTGCGATGGCAAAGCCCCTACGGAGGAACCTTTACCTCTTACAAATGTAATTTTTAGGAGTTTGTATAGTTTTCAGACTGTGTTTAAACTCAACAAGTTCGGTGCATCGGGCCCTCGGATTTCCGAGCCCTCGAAATCCGAGCCCTCGGAATTTATTTCCGCTTCCATTAGCAAATTAGTCCTACATCTCACGCGAGTGTCTCCACACTCCGCACTCATGTATGACTTCGCTAATATACACGTCACTGTTTAATTGAAGCCCAACACCCCCTACTAGACTATTTATATCACGACGTCTTCCCCCCCTTCCAATCACAAGTTCGGGATTAGAGAACAAGGAAACTGAAAAGGGATTTGTTGTAAGCAGTTACTCTTAACCTATAAGTATCCTGAAAACTGACAGAATTGAGAGTCCACGTAGAATCTCAAAGCAGTAACAAATTCGAGTTGAAGAGAAAGCCATGGCCACCGCTACTAAAATCGAACTCAATGGCCGAGAGGACCTAATCTTCTCCGTTACACCGCTGAGAAAAGATTCTGCCGAAAAGACTTCGCAGCTCCTCCAAGAAGACCTCGAGATCCATCATTGCTTTTTTAACTACAAAGGCTTCCATGTAAGTTAAGGCGTTTACTTTAATTTTCTCGGTTTAAAGACAAGGCCTAAGATAGCGTGATATTTATTATTGGCCTGATATCAATGTGCATTGATCTGTCATGTCACATCGTCAGCTAAACTCAAGCTAGAACCATATACCGCATCAACTTCTCACGATCTATGCTCTCGGGGGAGACCCTAGGCAGATCGAGAAAGCCTACGAGGCCAACAAAGTCTACCAAAGGCCGCCGGTTATCGTCAACGACAAGGCGGTTCCTGATATGCACGATCCGGAACATTTCAAGCAGCACCTGGGCGATGAAAACTACTACCACGCGTACTTGGTATTTTTCCAGCAACAAATCCAACAGCGTGGCTGGAAGGATGTCGTGCAAGAGTTCATTTTCCGGGGGGATAAGCGTGCAAACGACATGCTAGTCCGCCTTTTCGCAGGTGTATACCATCCGATCATCTATCTGGGTTTTGGTATTGAGTTTTCGCAACCGGCGATCATTGCTGAAGGCTTGGCTCATACGGCGATCCATGAAGACTCACTCAAGAAATTCTTCCTTGGTGCCGAGGAAGTTGCCAGACAAAAGAGTGGAAAGAGCAGCTTTGACCAGAACCAGGATGCCTCGTTGCTCGAGCTTTTCAACGACGTCAGGAAGATCGAGAAGCTCTCAGTCTCCTACACTAATAAGTGGGACAACGGCATAATCCCAGAAGACGTCCTCAGTTGGGCTGGAGATGAGTTAGTCCAGATCGCTGGTCGCTATGCGGCCAGTGAAGACGGGTTGGAATACAAGAAAGGAGAGATGATGAACTTATCTGGTAAGCTCCTTCACTAAAATTTTCGGGGCTCTTTAGGCATAAACATTTTAACGGTTCCTGAGCTAACACACGGCAGCCTACTTTGTCGCTGCTGCCCAGCGACCTCCCTACATCCCAAAGCTTGATTTCTTTTGCGTCCACAGCATAACCACAGCCATTTTCTTCACGTCATTCCTGAACGCCTCTTTCATTTCCCCAAGCGACCGTGTCCGTCTTTTGGAGTGGAAGGCTCGCTTGGATCTCGCAGTTTATGCCTCACGTTGTGCTCCAGAGCTGCTCCTCTCGGAGGTCCAAAACTATACCCCCAAGATGCCCTCGGATGGCTGGCCGGAGATTATTTCCCGCTCGCTTGCAATCCAGGATGACGGCCACAGTACGAAGCTTATACGTGCATTGGCACACTCGGCCATCGTGTGCAAGGGTTTGGAACGCCGTGACGGTATCGACAGGGAGGCACTGAAGAAGCTCCCAATCGTGGATGAAACCATGTGGCTTAGTGTTGCACATCTATCCATAGACAGCATGGAAGCGGGCGGACCGAGGTGGGTGGGCAACAGTGCTGACGGTTGGGACTCTGTGCCACTGAGGAAAGCGTGAGATCGGCTTCAATTCCGGGGTTGCAGAAAGGAGTATGGCTTCATTTGTATTCTCCTATTGGACTTTAGTTAGCGCTAAGCACAGATGGGCTTAGAAACTATACTCGAAAGGATGGTATAATAGATGTACTCGCTATTCTATAAATCTAATAAAACATTCTAGGGAGCCCCTTAACAAGTGACTCTGTCAAAGTAAAATTGGAAAATTATAAGGAGTAAGGCATTTATCCCCGCTCGTAAAGTCAGTCGCTACTTAACTGATGTCTAGAATGTTTTTGTATTCCTCTATATGTGCAGTTAGAATAGTTACGAATATGTATAACAGTATGGATCTTATAGAGTATTCGATCTTCTACTTACTTATTGAGTGCCATTTGAATTTCATATCAAGCAATTCAAGAAACGCGTTCAGTTCTTGGAGGCTGTATTGGTATTCTTCTGACGCGTTCTCTGTAGCGAGCCATTTAAAAGTTGCTGTTGCCTGGTACACACAATCCAGAAGCAGAGGGCTGAATATCGGCAGGCTATACTGCCATATACAATCCTTTATTTGCAACACCATTTGCAATATGGCGTTTGCGATCTCAGGACCTCGGATAAGGGCTGAATTCTGTAGCTCGATCTGTTCAGGGCTGCCTAGAATTTCCTTGACGGGTTCTGTCTCTGTGCAGATATACCGTTCATGAAGGGTTAACTGGGCGCTGTAGCACACTCCAAGCGCTGTCAGAAGCAACATATGGCAAGGTGGCCAATCGCCGAAATGTTGTTGCATGACTTCGTTAACCTCGTAAGCTATTGCCTCCGAAAGAGCTTCGGCGGTTTTGCGAAGCCGTATAGCCTCTTCATAGCGGAACTTGAAATCGGTGTTTTTGTCATCCACATGCTGGATAATACGTGAGAGGACATGTGCCACTTGGCAAAGTATGGCGAAAGGAGAAGTGTTAATGGTGACACTTGCTGATACAGCAATTGGTCGGGCAACGGTCATCTCCTAAGACATTTGCTTAGCGTTTGGATTTTAGAAAACTTCGAATATGCAATCGCGTACTCCTCGATCCCACTTGTCATCATCTTGTGGAAGCATAGCATCCGCTGGAATAGGTGGAACTGAAAGTGGATGGTTCCTGCTTCCGAGGTTCACATGTGTTTCGAGAATTACGACGGCCCACCATGCGCGTCTTCTCTCCTCGAGCTCAGCCGACGTCGCTGCCATTATTAGTAACAGGGACTTCAAATAACAGTTGATGGATATACTCGGCCGTGGCAGCATTTGAAGGGACTGCTGGTCGTGGAGGCCCATGCTAATCCCCAGTCTAGCACAATGTCCCACTGTTATGTATGCAGCTGGGTAGATGGCATGGAAAATCTCATATAGTGCAATGAGTAACAGCGCCTGTAGGAGATGAACGGAATAAACATTTTTCCTTTCTGTGTTAGTGTATAGCGACTTGCAAGACAAATATAGTCCGGAACATGGAGTGGTTGAATCCGGTTGTTGAAATAGTTGCATGCATGCCAAGAGCAGTTTTGTGTCTGATAGAAGGGATTGCGTAGGGTTTGTAATTCGCTGATAAATCCGAACTTTTGAAACTGTCGAACGCAACATTAGCTAGTGATTTACATGCTTTGCTACAAACAGGACGTACTGATTGGAAAGTATGTATGCAGATCACTAAAATGCTTCCTAACGACATCATTTACATTTGCGGCTTCGCCCGGGTGGTCAGTAAAGGCACGTGGTAATTCTACGTTTGGCGTGATGATAGTCTCTCTGTTGTCCCGGAAAATTTGCGAGTCCAAGAAGAAAGAAGTTGGAAAAGCAGGTTGCAGTTGGGAGGACGGCTCAGTCGAAGAAAACAAATGGCTGTTTATCAAGCCCGTTGCTGATGATGTCTCGCTGGAGTTGGGACCGGGTTGCAGTGCGGTGAGTTTGTTCTCAAGATCAGCCACCCGATCGCGAAGGTACGCAAGTTCATCTTGATCGGAGCGCGAAGGCAAGTTCTCGGAGTATTCGCAGGGCTTCGCAAGCCTGCGGCAAAGCAGACACGCAGGAAGCTCTTTCGTACACCTTCGTCTCTGCTTACGACAGGTTGAGCAAGCTTGTTGGGCAAGCGCTGGAGTCGAACCTGACATGGATCGGGTCGTCCGGATTGGCGGCATTGTAACTACGTAAAAGAATTTTGTCGAGGCAAATAGGCGATCGTGAAAGGATGTATCAACGAAAGTTATGTTGGGGCGGGCGGACGCGCGCCCGCTTATAGAAAGCAAGTCAGCTATCGGCAAATTTCCGGGGCAAAGGGGTAGGCCGGCACGCGGGACTAAAAATAAGTAGTAACCGTCCCACTAGAGGGTGTCGCAATTCACCTGACACGCCGAATCGCCGAAATATGTAACGAGGCCTCTTCAGCCTAGGCGTTGGAATTGCCTAGCGGGTGAATAGGTTCGAAGGGTTTACCTTGAAGGATAAGAAGTGTAGGAAGTTGAGAGACAAGTCACGTGAATATCGGGGTAGGCGTGTTACTATCAACCTTTAATAGAGATTGATACTTTGAGTTGACCACGAAGGTCCTATCTACTGCTAGAGAGTGTGGTCTAAATACATGTAGGAGATGCTAATAATCTGGATCATGTCTTTGGATCATGATATTGGATTAGGTATATGGATTAGTTCTGATCTATTGGCCCGTGCGTGGGGATCGTCCTAAGTTATGTGACTTTT